GACGATTTGCTGCCGAGGGAGTTTTTGCCACGGAGAGAAGGTTGGAGCGCGAAACCTTCTCTCGGTGGCAAAAACTCCCTCGGCAGCAAATCGTCCCTCGCGGCCGCATATTACTCACGTCGCTCAGAGAAAAAATAACGCCGACGCCCAACAAGACTGCGAAGGAGGCTACTTCAGAAACGGCTGGAATGAGAAATTGTCCCAAGTAGACAGATAACATACCAGGGGGGTTGGTCTGCTTAAGGAGTACAGTTTGCCGCTGCCGAACTGTACTCCGTTAGTGGACCAACGCTCCTGGCATCTATCTGTCAATTTGGCCAATTTTAGAAGCTTTTAGGAGGCGTAGACTGGATGATTATCGATCTGTCGGTTTGCAGGCAGACTCTGACCTTGGTGCTGAAGTGTTATTCAGTTGGCTCCAACATTCACACTCTGGCTCAAATGAGATGCGCTCTTATGATCTTTAATCGCTATAAAAGAAACTATTAAGGTGTAAACTATAAAAAATTGATGTCCGTCAACAAAAATTGTATCGCCCGAATCCGGTTTCGAATTTTCGAAAGCGGCGAACTCGACTCGCGGGTAACGTGTTCGAACTATTTTATGGAACATTTGGAAGCCCGTGTGACAAACAAAGAGAACCCCGTGTGTACCATGGGCGATAGGCCACCGAGTTTTTGTTGAGATCGCTGTTGCTTTGTTTTATGAACACTCGTATACTGTGCACTCCGTACAAGCTTAAGATTCCCGATAATCATACACTGAACACAAACACTATGAACACGGTCCGTTGAAAGGATCCGAAGAGTCATGAACTCAACACATAACACCGTGAACACTGTCCGTCGAAAGATTCCCGAGAATCATACACTCATCGCATAACACCGTGAACACGGTCCGTTGAAAAATTTCCCTAGAATTCTCTGTACAATGAACCATACATATATAATACATACTGCTGGGTACTTGGTCCGCTGAATCATACAATAACTAGAGGTCGGAGATCTCATGTCTTCGTCAGAGGTACATCGTTCTAGATCATAGAGAAATTAACATGCGTATTCTTCACTCTTTTTAATAATCAATTTGGTCTAAAGAACAAAAGAATCTCTGTACTATTTTTATGGTACAGAACACCCTGAAACGGTTTGCCACAGATTATACAGATGCGTCGTCACCCGTGTTAGCCCCCCCCCTAACGTTATTTGAGTTTGGACTGTTACTGGAAAAAAAAAACGTTCAAGAAATTCTTACTGAGATGTTATAAAGGAAAGAATCAGAACAGGGTGACTACTGCTGTTTTGTTAATTTGTCTTTATGACAAATAGAAGACTTGTTTCTTGTGTTCTTTGTGTCCTAACATTTGTACTTCTACAGTTAGTATATTCCAAATCTAGGCATCTCGTTTTTCGGCCATTCGTGTTTTTATTGCGCGCTTGCCTTAAATTTAAGGTAATTAGATTTATGGTCTCCAGTGGACGTCATCCATAGCAATTACTTGGTGTGGCCGTAGAAAATAACCTGACATATGTCCAACCTATCCTCCCCCTGCTGAAGTTATAGTACAATCCCTCAATGTAACGTCATTTGACCCCATCCCATTATGGGGTTCCCCGGCGGTAACGGCTATATCCAGCTGTCGGCTGTCTCCAAGCAGATGTAGGTGGGGGATTTCTAAACACAAAAGGTCCTATTACGGGGACATAACGACCTCCACGACTCTCATCTTTGAACTCAATCTTGGAGACCACCACAGTAACATGCCTATCAAATTTCATTAACTTCCATCCACACATACAAAAGTTATCCTGCTCACAAGAAAAATTAACAAAATGCCCCCTGTAGTCACAACGAAACCCCCCACGAAGCTCAGTAACGAACTTGACCTTGGTCCCGACAATAGTAAGCACCACACCAAGAATTATAATCAACATTTTACAAATACTTGAGTTATTTTGCTAACAAGCCACAAACACAAAAGGTGCACTAACGTGACGCACGGACCCCCCACGAAGCCGAAACTTGTACTTGACTTTGGCCTCAACAATGGTAATCTGCCTGCCAAAAATCATGGACGTCGAATCATGCCTTCCAGAGTTATATCGCAAAATCCGCAGTTCCCCACACTCCGGCGAGACAATTTCATAGTCCTTCTGACGAAGACAAAAAGCACACTCATTACTCAGCTGTTACATTGGCGTTCAGGGTAGCGCAAAGGCCGACGGGAATAGAACAGGTTTCGCAAACTCGAATGCGTTCGCAAAACCGCTGCTCGACTCGATAGAACCCCAAGCCGGGGCTAGCGCTAGCGGTGATAACTTCAAAAAGATGACTAGTACTAAGTACCTAACCAAGATGAAGCGTTCGGAAGTCGCTGTTCGGCTCTCGGCAATCTTCGGGAGACTTCGGTATCTGTTCGTATGGTTCTTTGGAATCCTCATCAGTTTGTGACCGTGTTCAGTGTACGTATGATTCTAGGGAACCTTTCAACGGGCCGTGTTCACGGTGTTATGTGTTATGTGACTGTATGATTTTTGGGAATATTTCAACGGACCACTGTATTGTGATGGCAACGGGCTGAATGAGTAGACACAGTGTATGTTCTAACATGCGCGAAACAATAATAAGGATTTTATTTAATGGTTTACAAAACAATGTAACGTTACATGTATTGTTAGATCTCAACAAAAACTCGGTGGCCTAGCGCCTGTGTGTGTACCGGAACACTTACTATCAAAGCAGAGTTTTAGGCTTCGGCTTATTTTTGACGTGTTTATCTGGCTATTTAGTACTGGTAGACCTACCTGTTTTGCAAATGGTAACTGCCTGGCAAATGGTAACTGTCTGGCCAATTTGATACTGCCTTTGCAGCCACCAAAATATCTGCTTGGAGATTATGAAACACCCTGTATCAAACGTTACCGCAGCCCAGGTATGACATGATAAACATGTAGAACCACTACTACTTACGGCAGCTGTGCCTTGTACCACTCCAGCGCCTGCTTGGCGATGGGGCCGGCGATGACGGCCGGGTCCGTCTCGGGGTTGTTCTCGGAAAGGACCGGCACGATGAAGGTCCTCTCCGGGGCGTCGAAGATGCGGACAACCGCACGGACAATCGTGACGCGGTCGGGCCCGGGCTGGATCGCAAGCTGTGGGCGTACATGATGTAACGTTATACATGAGATTAAGTAGAACAAGTTTTCCTTCTACTTAGAAAGAGTTTCAAAGTTTGCTGCGAAATCCCGACCGTCTCTCAATGCATCTACCAATTTCTAACAGGACTAAAGGGTTGTAGCCTAACATACTTTTGTATTCGCCCTGTAACAACTCGTGGCCATACTTACTAGCCTTCGAGAAGCGACTGAAAGAGTAGAAATTGGCCGAATAGACAGATAACATACTAGTAATTGGCACGTAATGAGTACAGTTTGCCGCTCTAAACTTGGCCAACTTCTTCTCTTTCCAGTCGCTTCCCGAAGCCTGGAAGAGACTGATAGTCCTCAGATCACTAAATGATTCTGATAGGTTTTCAACGAACGTGTGAAAGACCGGATCACCCTACCTGTGTGACGTTGAATCGGCGCTGTTCCCTGGGGAGCTCGGCTACATGGTAGGCCCACACACAGTCGCACTTGTCCTCTACCTTAGACTGGTCCCCGCGAGACACGTTCAGAGCCTTCTCATACAACCTCCTGGTGGTCTAGACATACGAAAAGAGATATTTTTTTCCTTCATATGCCTTGTCAACATTACGTGGGCTGCGCAACCGATGGTTAATCCTATTACTTTGATGCAAAAGCTGTCTGGGCGTATATTTCATACTCTATAAAAGCAGTCAACAAACTTGAAAGATTTTGCTGAATAATAAGGTGCTCACGCTATTGTACCATACACATACGGATACCAACGGTGTACATTTTGTGCGGTGGGTTTTCTTTGGTAGGATTATGTGCTTCAGTGTTCATCTTTTTCGTACTTGTCATACTTTTTTTTCACAATTTTCAAAGCTTTTTTTTAAATTTAATGATAATAAGTAACTGTTCTCGGGTACCAATCTACGGCTAATTGCCAAAATACAATGCCGGATCGACACACCAAATCAGTTTTTATTTTTATTTAACCCAGAGAATTGCTGGTTACGATGATTACTGTTGTAACGTACCTGTAGGGCCAACAGCGTCTTCCTGCTGGCGTTACGGGATGAGAAGTACTGTTTCAGGATCTCCTGTTTCTCCGGGCACACTGAATTGAACAAGGGTAAAAATAGATCATCTGTATCTGTATAGATCCAGCTTCGCAGGCACGGGGCGCGGCGGCCGCTAGCTGTATTACACCGAACGACTTGTTACACCCAATCATTACAGCCTAGATTGAACGTGGCCGTTACAAACACAATCTGTCTACTTATAAATGTATTCTCATCTTAGATGGCAGTGCTGTTTTCACCGATTAATATTAGATTATAAATAGTCTATGGCCCTCGTAACCAGTACAACATGTCCACACCAACCCTTTCTAGAGTCTAGTAAGTATTGTACAGGGCCCTACCGTCCTCTGTCCTGATCCTGCAGTCGTTGCAGGTGTGCACGAGCCTGACGCAGCTGCGGGAGTCCTGCAGGATGGCCTGGCAGGTGGGCGGCTGGTCCACGTCGTTCTGCGCCAGCAGGCCGCGCAGGGAGGGCAGGCTGATCAGGGCCGCCGGCAGGGACGAGTCGTCCAGGGCGCGGCGCCGCCTCCGACCCAGGAAACCTGCGGGAAGTGTGTGGGAGACAGAGGCATGACACATAATGATACGCCCCTGTTAAACATTCAGAACCTTCTCCCGAACACCTGCCGACCAAGGTTGGCTGAAGTTCGGTAGCAGTCTGACTAGATGTAGGCCACACCTAACTTTATATTGTAGTCATACTTTTACAGCCAACGACGCCCCGACCATATTCAGCTATGTGTGGCCTCCCGAACACTGCCCAATTCCTCCTAAAGCATACTGGCGACGACATACATTTGTATTATATTTTACCGGTGATCTGACCAGCTAAAAAGATAAATCATGCTCACTGAAGGTATCCTTAAAGAATCCCGCAAAGTCCTCTTCGAAAAAGTCCTGTATCTCCCTGCCCGCCGTCTGAAAGCTGTCCACTATCTGGTCCCCTGCGTCGTCAAAGAAATCCTCCACCTTGTGAGAGAAGTCGTGCACTTGGGTCTTGGCCTGCTCCACGGCCTTCTTGGCGTGTCCGCTGGCGTTCTTCAGCACTCTGCCCACCTGGTCCAGACCGCTGCATGCGCAGGGAGGCATTATTGGCATCAAGAATCATATCTATTGATGTTATGTTTTTTTATTACAACATTAGGAAAATACGTAGTGATGCTGCCTATCTGAACGACACCACTAGACAATAAATCATCAAGACATGACGAAAGTAGTACACATGTATGTGGCAGGAACTGGAACGTCTGTTGCACAGAAATGCAAAACTGAATGAGTTGAATGACGAAATGCCTGTCTTATATATATATATATATATACCACTGAGATCGTTTCACAATTTGTTTTACACGCATACATGTATCATATCTGTTCTGTTTTTGCCGCGGATGTAAAGCTACTATCTAAAATGATACATCATACTAACCAACGTCAACCCTTCCTTCCTTCATTTATTCCTTCACTCACTCACTCACTCACTCACTCACCCTGCCACGGTCTGTAGATGCCGGTTGATCCCCCGCAGAAACTTCTCGGTGTTCCCGAGAGCGTCGGCGGCCCCATCAGCCGTCTCGCCCGCCGACCCGACGTACCCGCTTGCAGACGAGAAGGCGTCCGCCACGTCTTCCTCCACGAACTCCCGAACGTTGTCGTGGAGCTGTTCGAACGTCGGGGTCACCTTTTCCTCCACGAAGGACGATATGTCCTTGCCGAAGTTCTAGAAAACAGACAGACTTTCACAACTTTTCCCAGACAGTCAAACTCGTTCCCAAAGTTCCCTAAACCAAGGACATTATACAAGGTTTTCTCATCAACAATTATCCCACAAACACCAGGATAAACTTGAAACATGACGAGAAAAGCTGAATTCGCCGACTAATGTACACATTAGACCAATCGGTCTGTTGTGGGCTGACCTGTCCCCACGGCACTTATGACGGAACAAATTGTTGTGTCACAAAGTGCATGTTGGTTGTCTCCGACCCCACTGTTCTGGAACAATGACACATCGCTGTGTCCATGGAAACGGCGATAAACAAAACAGTTCTAAGGCCTGCCTGTCACGTCGCCATGTCGTTGCGACTTATGACGTCTTTGTTAGTTGTTTTGTTTTCGCGTACGAGACACTGTTACATTTAATATGGCGTTCAATACTACTGGGCCATTCCACAAGAGCGGGTGCCTGTGTGCGGACTGTCTACACAACATCGACGAGTGCGTCCAGAGAATCGCGTCCTGTCCTCACGGCCCGCCGGGGAGCTACCTGTGGGACTCCAGCCTGACCGTGACACTGAGGGGCTGCATGCCGTACGACAGCTTCCACCAGAGCAAAATCATACAGCGCTACGTCGACACAAACTTCAGACCCGTGCTGGAAAAGCTGCTGCTCTTTTCTATCGTCTATCGTGATTATCTGGTGGAAAGTGTAGTCGGGCAACAGCTGGCGAAAACGGAGAGCAAAGCACGGGAGGAAAGCCACAACAAAGATGGTCCCGAAAAGAAGGAGGCGGAAAGAAAACATCACGCCGGCTCAAAGATGCGTGGGGACGACGGGAATGGCTCAAGACAGAAAGGAGGAAATCACCAGAGAATTGACGGGAAAACCGCGTCAAATATTCTTGCCGAAAAGGGCGACAGCGGAAACAAATGGGACTTGGCAGTCTTCGGAAAAAGCGTACAGCCGCAGGGAGGAGGTGGAGACCTTAGCCAGGCTGGTGACACAAGGGACAAACGAGAAGTGATTGATAAAGACAACCAGACCTCGCTGAACGACCGCAAGAAAAAGCGGCTTCTCTCCCGCAAGCGTTCTTACATCAAGATGCGGCAGATGGGAGAAGACTGGATCGTCTCCTACCGCTTGGCGCTGCTGGAGAGGTTCTCCATGATGTGCACGTACGCTCCGGCCGCCGCCGTGCTGGCCAAGTACACGCCCGAGATCTGGCCGTGGCTGCACGGCTTCATGCTGGACCTAGCAGACCAGACGGAGACGATGGTACCTAAAGAGGACCACCACCTGGACTGCCCGTCCTGCCGCCCGGGTGCCTTCGGGCTGAGGCTGTACAGCGACGGCGGCGTGGCGTACCTCCTGCACGACGTGATCGTGCTGACCGGGCGGGACGACTTGGTCCGCGCCCTGCGGCGGGAGACGCGGGAGATCCCGTCCTTCGCCGCCTGCATCGCCGCGGTGCTCAGGAAGCACAACAGCTTCAGGGTGCTGTGGATGGCGCTCAGGACGGGGCTCTACTTCCTGGACGCCGGCGGCATCATGGGCTACAAGGTTTGTTTGTTTGTTTGTTTGTTTTATTAGGATCCTGAAAGAATTAAATATTGCATAGTGAACCAATAACACCTAGCTTCAGAACACAGTAAACCAGTCATATTAGCCCCGATTGAGCCCCGATGAAGATGACAGACGGTCATGGAATTAAACGTTGGCGGCATCATGGGCTTCAAGGTTGGTTCCTTTGTCTCTTCGTTTGTTTTATTAGGATCCTGAAAGAACTAAATATTGCTTTGTAACACATTGTTACAGTACTATCTAGCTTTGATTGTGCACAGTAAACCAGTAACACCTAACTTCAGTACACAGCAAACCAGTTATATTAGCTCTCATGAAGATGACAGGCGGTAATTGAAACTAATCTCCAAGCAGATCATACGGTGGCAAGGCAGTGTCCATTGGCCAGAGGAGTGTCCATTTGCTAAATCTGCTTGGAGATTTGATTCCATCGAAACGTCGGCTCTTGTTAAACAAGTTGTTGTGAATAAAGAACTTGCCATCTAATCATTCACCAACATGATGAAATCATGTCACGGCAGGTCCTGAAACAAGCCGACGCTCTCCCATCCAGTTTAACAAGTGGTTATGAATAAATAACTTTGATATTCAATCATTCCCCAACATGACGAGTATTATTGATTCACGGCAGGTCCTGAGGGACGCCGGCGCTCTCCCGGCCGTCCTGACGTTCCTGGAGCGGGCGCGGCGGTGGAAGTCCTGCCCGTTCGTGCGGGCCCTGCTGAAGTGGGCGCTGGTGATGCGGCTGTTCCTGGACGGCACCATGGAGCTGCGCTACTTCCGCGGGAAGGGCCCGCGGGTCCGCCTGCAGATGGACGAGGGAGACGACTTCTACTCCCTGCGCAAGGAGATGTACGAGGTGGAGGACCCGCAGGAGGGCGTGATGCCCGTCTTCTGCTCCAATCCGCCCTGCACCAGGTGGGTATGTGGGTACAGCAGAGGCCACAATTGTGATATTCAACTGTAGGTATAATTGTTCTAAGTCGTTGATTGTGGGAAGAAGATTTAAGAGGTAGAGGACCCACGGGGAGGCGTGATGCCCGTCTTCTGCTCCAACCCGCCCTGCACGAGGTAGGTTGGCGGGTACAGCAAAGGCCACAGTTGTGATATACAACTGTATATATGATTTTAACTTAAAACCTATCTCCATCCTCTTGCAGCTACATGAGCGACAAGAGCAAACGCATGGATCCATTCCGGACGTGCAGGTACTGTAAGTAGAGGGTCCGGCAAGTTCAGGGGTCTAGAAACGGGTACCGAGAAAAATGGTTTCCTTGTCGTTTTTTTTTCTTTTCACTCATAACCATCCCCATCCTCTCGCAGCTACGTGAGCGACAAGAGCAAGCGCATGGACCCGTTCCGGACGTGCAGGTACTGTAAGCTGGTGCAGTACTGCAGCGCCGAGTGCCACGCCGACCACTGGCACGCCCCCGGGCCGGACGGACACATGAGCCGGTGCTTCTCCCGAGACATGCTGGTCTCCAACTGCAAGAACCTCGACTGACTCACTGACTGTGAGCTGAGAAAACAAACGCCGTTGCTGTTCCGTGCTTCTCGTTATAAATTCCAGTTGACAGAAGGACTGTTCGTTAACCATGAATCCTTACAAATATCGACGTGACATCGTCGTCAATTGGACACCGTGAATTCTGCTGTAATTTTGCAACAAATCTTGTGTGTAAGAATAATGCAAATTACCATCAGGACACAACTGGATATGAAATATACATTGTAAAGGAAAGATTGCACCTTCAGCACGACAATATGATTTTATTTTGACAAATGTTGACAGATTTCGTATGACTTTCTTGATGATTGCCATCATTGTCAGTAAAGATAAAATACATTTAGACTACATTCGATGATGCAAGACTCTAGCACATTTGTTTTTCTATTCTATTCTATTCTATTCTATTCTATTCTATTCTATTCTATTTATCTTTGCTGTGAAAATCAAACTGGCAGAAGTACAATATACGTCTGCATTGCGTTGATTTTTACAAAGACCATTGCTACAATACTGTACACATAACAAATGGTACTCTTTTGTCAAGTTGTTTTTTTTTTTCATCCATGGCCTAAGCATATCCATGCGGTGTCTCAAGTGTTTCTCCCCAATTGTACGCCATTACTGCCACGTGCACCTACCTGGAACACTGTCGCCACGTCCTTCTCGAAAAAGTCGACGAACTCCCGCCGGGTGTTCTCGGCCCAGACCGGCAGCTCCTCGCTGAAGAAGACCTGTGCGTCGGCGGACGTGTTGGCGAACCAGTCCGCGACGTCACGCTCGAAGAAGTCGACAAGGTCCTCCTGGAACCACGTGGCAACGTCTTCCTACAGGTGCAAAGAGGGGAAAACGTCTAGGCCTAACCTCCATCAGTCCTTTCTATGGGGATACTGATCATCGAATTCGGGAGAATAATTGGCCAGAAGAGTCACACCCCCCCCCCCTTGCTGTTTAATCTTTGGGATCTGTACATGTGTCTGCATAGCCGGTATAACCGCCCCTCGGTATAACACACCAGGGATAGGGTGTGGAAGGACTGTTGAGCTCATGGATCTGAGAAGTGCACATAATTTTGGAAAATACCTTAAAGAATTCGCCGACATCTTCGAAGAACTCCCTGGTGTCGTTTCCGATCTCCTTGAAGAAGTCTCCGTCCAGCCTGTCCCGGAAGTAGTGGTCCACCTCGTGGAACACGCTGCCGTTAAACCACTCCCGCAGCTCTTTGCACAGCTGAAACACAAACGGTTACACAAGCTTGATATCGTGTCATTGCTCATTCTCTTCAGTGTTTTCCCTTCCTTCCTTCCCTCTTTCTTTCTTTCTTTCTTTCTTTCTTTTATTCATTTTTGTTCTGTTTTCCAGTTTGAAAGTTCATTGCTCCTTCCTTCCTTCTCATTTTTTCCGTTTTCCAGTTCGAAAGTTCCTTGCTCCTTCCTTTGTTCCTTCTCTCATTTCCGTCTTTCATTCCTTCCTTTTTGTATATTTTCTTCTTTTCCCATTCTCTCCCTCCCCCTTTCTTCCCCTCCCTCCCCACCTGACTGATGGCCAGTAAGAAGGGGTCCTTGTTCGCGTCTCCCGGGTTGAGAATTGTGGTCTGTCCGTCGTCGTTCAGGAAGAGGCGCGTGATCTGCCGCACGACCTGGGCCTTCCTCTGGTGGCAATTGTCGTTGTAAAACTCCACGCACCTGGATGGAAAAGACGCCAAAATTATACTCTTTTTACGACGATGATAGCCTGGTTACCAAAACTATTTGATATCTTAGCTGCTTAGTTTCTTCTTCATAAATTTCTACACAGGACAAAAGAGACTCGGCACTTGGTGACCACACTTTGTCGATGACTGCGCTTAATATACTTGACGAAGATTTTACTATGGTGCAGCTTAACTGCGCCTTAAAACGTTAGCCTCTCCGTCCCACACAGGCCAGGAGATGTCACTGCCAAGCCATCGACCACGTGTGTAGTCGTAAAAGAACGTGTATACGCCTTCAGTATATAATTTAACCAGGTTGGTTAATGATTTAATAGAAATAGTTCGCAACCACTTGTTTAACGTTAACAGCTTCGACGCTTCGATGACCGTCTGTCATCTTTATCAAGACAATTGTCACTGTAGACTCCTTTTTTCACGATCTCCCATCGCCCTTCCTGATGCCCACAACCCCCGCCCCTCCCCATATACCCATGCCCCTGACCTCTCGCCCAGACACGGCAGACAGCGCTCCTGCAGCCGTCTCCTCTCGGAGTCGTTACACCTGGCCAGCACGTCCTCCAGCACCTCGCCTGCCGCCCGGGACTCCTCCTGCCTGTCCTGGTACTGGCGCTCCAGCTGGGAAACCTGTGCCAACGACAGAGCAACCTCGTAACGCGGTCAACATCAACTGTACACAGCATTAGAACATGGCAAAAGCTCCGAGGATAATTATCCGGTATAAATAATCCGGTTGGTGAATGATTGAGTAGCAAAGTTCTTTATTCACAACCACTTGTTTAGCAAAGGCCGACTGTTCCATGACCGTGACATGACTGATTCACTGCGCGCTGAAGCTGAAGGACAAATATGACTGGTTCACTAATCATTTTCACAAGTCCATTTTCTTGGTTATTTCGTGGTTGGTAAGGTTTTTACCGTTTGGGGAAATGGAGAGAGTGGACAGTTAGGTTGAACACATACATACACATCACGCTGTAGTACCGAGGCAAAACGTCAAGTGAACAACCGGCTTTGAAACGTCAGTGTGAGAACGTCCTAACCTTGTTCCTGAGCTCAAAAAGCACCCGCTCGTCCTTTCCCTTCATCCGCGAGATGTCCTCCAGTCGGCGGATGGCCTCACTCAGCGACACGGAGATGTCTCCATACCCGAGCGTGCTCACCACTAAAGGGGGACGGAATATACCCCAAAACTAGTAGAACCTTGCTATGCAACACACAAACACACATACGCACACAAACACAGACACACACACGCACACACACACGCACACACACACACACGCGCGCACACACACACACACACACACACACACACACACACACACACACACACACACACACACACACACACACACACACACACACACACAAACATACTGTCTTAATTTCTGTTTCTTAGTCTTACTCTAAATTTTCTTGACTGGGTGCAGCTGTTGTGCAAATCAAATATCATCGGAATAAGATAAACATACGACTTTTGCTTACTTTAAAAGTTGTAGCGTGTCTCAAGTTTCTTACAACAACACGAAATTCTCTTCCACAGAGTTACTTTTAATCCTACTGTGTCTTGGCCCCTGAACGGTTATGATAATCATTGCTCGCAGACTTGCTTGTTTTTCTACAACTCCGTATGTAGAAAGATTAGATCATTTTGGCAAATTTTTGTGAGGAATGAAGACTTTTCGGTGCCAATTCTTACAAGGGAAATATACTAGGGGCGAATAACACGGTTTCCAGTTTCCACAAAATAGTATATCTAAATCTGGAGAAAGATAACACAATGACTGTCTGAAATTATGGATGCCTTTTCCGTTACTGTCAATGTGTGCATGTGTATTTAACTTACGGCTGAGTGTTTTGGGGGTGACCTGTCCGTTAGGCGCACAGAAGACAGCCGGGAGCAGCAGCAACAGAAACACCGCAGCCTGCATACTGACTGCTGTAGAATAGGCAACACTGAAACATACAGACGGACGGTTGAATAAATAGATTCGTCTTTACCGCTGAGTTGGTACTAGCGCTAGTGACCTAAAATAATTAAGAAAAGAGCAGCAACATTTTTTTTCTAATAAGAAGATGTTTTAAACACGCACGATTTATCATAGGTTTACGGATCTTATGTGATAGGAAGCACAACACACTCGTGTTCTGAATTAAAAAGTACACAGAATCAATTCAGTCATCGTGAGTCAAGATAAATACTGTCCTTTCTTGAGCAGGGACTTATATGTCCTTATCCTAATACGGTCCGCGAGGCCTTGGCTTTACTGTTAACACTACTGCGAGGCTATTCTCTACATAATTCATGACCATGGACCACATGATGTCAGAAGAACGGAGTACAATGGACCTTTTCAGTCCCGGGTGCCTCCACTCTCTTACAGACGTGTTCGACTGTTTGCTGACGTTCGCAGTTCTGTGACTGTGGCGCCAACAGGATGTTAGCCTCACGGCCATTACATCATCTGTGGAACATCGCGTGATTCTTACTCTTACGCTGACTTGGACTTACCTAATCTCCAAGCACAGTCCACACTCCACTGTCACCAAGTACAGTAGGGGCACTGTCAATAGATAGCTTTAAACAATGTCTAGAGCTAGAAGTTCAAGGGTTAGGTGTAACAAGTCGATCGGTGTAATATTGCCAGCTGCCGCCGCGCCGCGTGCCTGCGAAGCTGGTGTGTTACGCCGAAAGGCGGTTATACCGGCTATACAGATACAGATACAGATACAGAAGCAGATCATACGGGGCAAGGCAGTATCCACTGGCCAGAGGAGTGTCCATTAGCCACCGAAGCTATTAAATGGACAATGGATACTGCCTTGCCACCGTATGATCTGTGTTTGTAAGATACAACATGTGACAAGGAAATCGACATTTCTTATGTTCTGTATTCGTGTCATTGAACTTTCTCATACCGTTACCCAGGAGTTAACTGTGTTAGGCAACAATTGTAGTATCTTAATCTTCATTCAAGGCATTGAACCATGGAGGTAGTTCTACGTCCATGATTGAACTAGAGAAGAAAATATGTTTTGTTTGACGGTTACTTTTGACCCTGGGGTTGAAGACCTGCCCGGCCGGCAACTACGCCATTTCAACAGATTTTAAGAGATTACATTACACTCTTACATCAGACGTTGGCTTAATGTAAAAATCTCAGCTTTCTAACATACACACATACTTTCAGTTGCATAAGATCTGCAAGGTCCTTTCGGAAGCTGTCTCTGACAACACACGCAGAGTCAAAAGACGTTCGCAAAACAACTTACCCTCACGACAATGGAACCGAGGAGGTCCTTGACGGAATTTAAATGCCAGCAAGGGCGTGTTTCTCTCTCTTTCCAACAAATAGTCCTTCTCTCTCGGCTTAACCTTTACAAACTTGCTCGACACGAGAGCGTTCCTGGTATAATACTGCAGGTTTAGTCCGTGACTGGTACGGAGGGTGACAGGGGCCAACCTTACTGCTCTGGGTCAATCTGGAAAAACAAGCTGCGCAGTCGGTCGCCCAAACATGTCTTCCCTGCACTTCCGCACGAATCCAGAAGTATTTTAACTCACACAGTATGTGCTATGCTGCGAAAGCACCCCTTAAAACGACGGTATTCAGACCATTTCAGTACTTACCCAATGGGGATCCAAGAGAAACTGAAAAGGTGAACTACCGATAGTGCGGTCTCGGAGTCCTGCTCGGCTCGAGTTGACTACGACACAAAGGATGGTCTGGATGACCGGAGCGTTTGTGCAAATTCAGCGAAATTTGAATGTTAAAAGAACTTGTGAAAAGTTCCCCACACTGGCGTGTTGTGCATCCTGCTGAGGAGCGTACCAAACGCTCTGAAGGGGATTACTTTTTTCATCATCGTAAAATGAAACAATCTTAACATAGGCTTACGCCCTCAAGCGGTTTCAATTGCTTAAAAAGTGTTGCAAAGGTATATTTTTAATGTCTTCAGTACTATTTTGACAGGGAAAAGGGAATGTTATTGAATGGAAAGTGAAAATACGATCTTTGCCACCCCTCCAGGAAGAGATTTGAGAAAACCCATGTTGGAGCTTGCTTATCTCCCGCCGGTTGACATTTCCGTGACTTCCCGTAGTCTAGAGCAGCAGGCGAGATGATGGACTGGCCACACAGATTTCCCGTGGCTGTTTGCTAGCCTCTAACAGGCTTTGGAGGCTGCTGGAGTTGAAATAAGAGTAGAAATTTGCAAGAAGAAAGATAACATGCCAGGGGAATTGCTCCGCTAGAGGAATACAAGTTTGCCGCTAGATGCTAGCTGCTTTCAATTGCGACCAAGGAGGGTTAAACCTCCTTGTTTCAACAAAACATCACGCTTCCGACACGCCTGGAGAACGAGACTTGTTGTTAGGCCACACCAAGTAAATTGTATGGATGACGTCCTTTGGAGACCCTATATCTAATGCGAGAGGGCGAAAAAAAACAAGAAGGGCCCTAAAAAACAAGATGCCTAGACTAGAAATAAACTAAGAGACGAGAAATGTTAGGACACAAATTAAAAGAGGTGACACAGTGTAACAAGCAAGAAGTCTTTTATTCATCATCAAAACAGCAATAAATCAGGTGGAACAGCAGTTGTCGTCCTGTCCTGTTTCTTTCACATTTTTGCAGGCCTGCAGAAACAAAGCATGTGCTCTTTACCCATTTCGCGTTACGGGTTTGACGTCAATCTAACGATTTGCGACACTGTCGTGACTCTTTGGTCATAGTTACAGGAATCGGAATTTCTTGTTTTTTTTTCTAGGAACAGGCCAAAATCAATGCGCGCGCGGACGTCATCCATAAAATTCACTTGGTGTGGCTTATGCTGAGTCATCGAAGGGGCTTTGGGGGTTACTGAGAAGTCAAGCTGAATCTGAAAGTTCAGTATGCACCAAGAAGCAATCACGATGGTCAGATTTGGGCCCAAAGTCCCACTCCGCTACTATGGAGATCGAATCCCCCGAACCCGCGAATCTTGTTCGATATGACGTCATTCGAACAGAACGGGCGTTCGATCCGGGGTTACCCGCTACAACCGGCTACTTCAAGCCCTTTTTTACTCGGGAACCACGGAACAGGATAAATCCACCTTTCCACAAATATGAACCGTTTTTAAAACATTACATCTATGCCGTGATTTTATTGTGGATATGTAACATGTAACGAAGCTACTGCCGTCATCGTGGGTGACCTTGAAGGTCAGAATTCTTGTTGACGCTGTTATAAAATCCAGGTCCCCATATCCAAGTGGCACAGCATGCGTGCAAACATGGTATTTTAACCATTCCCAAAAATCGCTCAAATTACCTCATTGAGGGCTTGTTTGGAAGAGGAACAATTTCCGCAGATTTCTGTCTTAGGGATTTTTTAAATATGGCCGCGATTATGAATTATCGGTATTTAAAGTTAAAACACTGCGTTTTTAGCTCTTCTTTTGACTGTAAGTCGAGTTTTAGTTAAAAAAATAAAAAATCCTAAGACAGAAAGTTTAAATTTACTGTAATATTTCTAAAAATCCAAAAATCTAACCTTATTTTTAATTTTTGGGGCCTCTTAAAATCAGTTCTTTGGTTCTCGTGAACCCTTTTTGAAATCCGAAATTGATCTCATTTGGAAGCAAATGTACACAAAGTGGAGCAAAGGCAGTGCAAGAATAACATTTGAGGTAAACAAAATCACTTATTACATTTTATTTTAACGAGTATTTACTCTCCAATTTTGTTTATTTTCAAATTTTACCCGTTGCCCCCGGCCCGGGACTCCCGCGCGGCCACGTTCGAACGCGTTCTGTAACCCGATACCTCCCTAGTAATGCGACTTTTAGCCTAGCAACCGACCGCCGTGAATTACCGAATGTTTTCGTTTCTTCGTGGCGAGTCACAGATTTCCTTGCGTTAACGGACATGACCTTGGCAGAACTTGAGTGAAGTCTTCCTCAGTATGATAAGAATGTGCTGAAAACCATGTCAACACATCACAGGTTGGTGTGGTACATATTTCATTCATGCGCTTGAATAAAGTGAAAAATCCAAATGGTTTCTCAGAAACTTTCCGTTCCCTGAGTTCCCATGACGTTCACATCAAAGTCAAACACCATATCGCGCCCCTAGCGGCCCTTCTGAGTCTCACACCAAGATCACGACAACAGAAGTTCAACTATCTGAAACCTTGGTTAAAATAAAGTTAGGTTTGCAGTATTACAACTTAACCAAATTGCAATGATTCTATCTCGCTGAACCATGCTTGACTCGACGCCAAAGGAAGATGATGCGGCTTTATGGTGGGTATTATTGTAAAGCCTGGTAGAATGGCCCGGTTTGGTAACTTGTTGGTTAGCGGAGTAGCATTATAAAGCATCGACACAGTATCAGAATACTGTACATTTAGCATGAAAGTCATTAAAAATCACGATGTGTTCGAACATTTTCGGCCACTCCTTTGAAGCATTGCCACCACGATGACGTCATGATATAATCTTTTTATATATCTCTAGCTTCATCACCGTTGCCATGGCAACAAGTGTCTTCCTCGCTGTCTCCATCATTACCATGGAGACGCTGCTGGGCAAGTTTCAAGTTTCAAGTTTATTTATTTCACCAGGCATGCGCAACGGACCGTTTCATTTCACCACCGGCAACGTTTTATATGGATCGATGTAGCATCTTTTGTTCTACCAGTTCTTCTAAACACCATCCACACGTCCACGACCAAAGTCCCCGCCTTTATGACGATAAACTCGACTTGCATTATCTAGTATCAAAGGTCAGGATGGAAAAAGTAGACGAAGTCTTTGGCGTTTCCTGTATTGTCGACAGAGTTAATTTTTCTTTGCTCAACACTTCTCGTACTGGGAAAGCTTAATGGATTGCGTCTGGATACACAGTATCCTTTTCAAAAGTACCCATTCATTTTCTTGAAACGTATGGAGAGTCTGCCGTGAAAGGCTTGCGTGAGAAAATACACTCCCGACGCAAGTGTATTCACCCCAAATCGCGCGTTTAGGGCCCACGCGGTCGTTACGTTACAGACTAATGATGCACGGCGTATTGTACAGTACACACAGCCGAGCATGCTTACTGGAAGGACCGTCCTTACATAAGACTTTAGGCCACAGCAAGTACATTTTATGGATGACCTTCTCCGCAGACTCCAAATCTAATGCGATAGGGTGGAAAAAAACAAGGCGGACAAGAAAAGATTCCTATAATTTAGAATTTTGAGATCATAAACTTTGTCAAACAATTTTTTTTTATTCAGCGGCAACATCACATATAAAGGAATGAAATACAACACTGTAACCGTTAACTGAGTAAAGGGCAAAACATTAAATCAGAGCCTTTTCTTGTCTCCTCTCTTCAGATTTATCTGCCATCCACGTTCCGGCATGGCAACAGACATCTTTGCCATTTTCGGCATGTTGACCACTGTCAGAGGGCAACAATTTTTTTCTTCTTTTTCAAAATCAGGCACATATGCGCGCGCTGATGTCATCCATGGAAATTACTTGCTGTGGCCTTATAAGAGGACACAGGAAGCCCTTTCCATGGCGCCGGCAATGTTGACCCTATATGATCTGTATGTAGTACATAATGTGGCCATTTGGTGCTACTAATGAACAATTTGACACAGGACATGTGACTGGAGCACGCGTTTTGCCATGTGCCTCCGCGTTTTGCCATGTGCAATTTGCTGGTTTCATCAGTTTGAACGTCGAAATGATTCACAGGTATCTTCAAAACGTATTTTGTACCTCTTTTGGGTTGCGCCATTTGCAAAGGGGATGCAAAAAGAAGTATGTATAAACTTTGAACAAGCCAAACTGGTACATATCCTTGGAGACTGGCCAGGGAGTCGTGCTGGCTATTAATAGTGAGAGAGCAGCACCTACGACTCTGTGTTTAGAGACTTAGCGGTTCAAATATGTTAGTTGGCTGAAAAAGGGCTTTGGTTGGCTGATCTGCACTGGGGGGAGTGTACCCTCCAAGCAGAGGTTTGGGTTTTGGCTTATTTTTGGCGTGTTTTAGTTTTTATCGGGCTTTCCTTTTTGCGCTGGTATCTTTTGTACGCCAGGGTTGATGTAAAAAAGATACCAGTGTAAAAAAGAGAGCCCGATTAAAAAAAAGCCGTAAAACACGCCAAAAATAAGCCCAAACCCAAACCTCTGCTTGGAGAGTAGCGGAGGAGTGCTGCATAGTGTACGCAGCAAGCGTGGGAGGATGGTGTTCGGGGACAGTTGCGTCCGATAGCGCTCTGCAGAAACTCCGATAACATCACACATAAGGATATAATAACCCTCAGTGTGTCAATATTGGCCCACTCCCGAGGCAATGCCCGGGAGAACGGTGGTCCTGGTACAACGTAGTGACGGGACTGTTCACGAGGCAGGATTTCTCCGAACAGCAAATATTAACAGTTATCGGGGACCAATCTCTCCCAGGGCCTTTAGAAAAGGGGGAAGAAAAACAAACGACAAGTACAGTGTGTGTAGATTTTGTACGAAATCACAGTCCTGTGATGGCCCTTTTTTATGGAAGGACAACAAAAAATAGTAAAGATCATGCGGTAGTTGGCCCTTACGTACAACAAGTACAACAAACTATATATAAACCACTTTTGGTTTTGGTTTTTGTTGCCCAAACAACGTGCCATCTCTGCCAGGTAAGTACGATTGCCTCCTCCTCCTCCTCCTCCTCCTACTACTAGGACCAAGGTCTGACGTAAATGGCCCGCATGCCACACAGTTACATGTAGTGATCGATCCCTGATAGCTCCAGTTCGCGTGCGCAGCTCGAGTCGCTCAGCACTTTGTGGTCCCATCAGTAAACCCACACCCACCTCGGACAGGATGGATGGTGTGCTGGGGACGTCCTCACGGGCGTTCGCCCCGCTGGGCTACGTGTCTGCCTGCTAGCCGAAGTGCGGAAGTCAAAAGTTTAAAGTTGGCATTCGGGTGAGGAATCCGTGATCTAGGAAAGCGGGCTTCTGGACAGTCTAACGTTAATGGGTACCTGCTGGGACGATGTTGTGCATGGTATAAAATGTAGGCAGCGCGCTGGTGATTTGTTGGGGTCGTAGCAAAACTGGAATCCGTACCTGTTTTCCCACCAATAGAAGTCGTTCATCAGTTGATCCGAGGATAGGGTAGAATTAAGCGTCCTCCTTTTCCCCCGATCCAGACTATTTCGTGCTGTACAGCACGAAAATAACCCATATCGGTGTCCCTGTGTGCAGATGACCTGGTACGATAGTAGGAGAGACAAACGTACATGTATCATGACTTCGCGGCAACCTCTTTTTGGCATCAAAGAGGAAAAACAATCCATCGGTTTCAGTGTGTCCTTTTCCTTTGCAATACCGGCTGGATATATCAACACTCAGTCGACGTGCGTCCTACTTCATAACTCTTGGAACAATACAGGTGAACTGCGGCGCTGACAGATATATACGGAACCGGGGCAAACGGTCGGTGCTACTGCTGATGCTGATTCAAGCTCTGCCTGGGTGGATATTGTAACGTTACTCGCTCCCGGCGAGTTTCATGACTCAGTCTCTGCCTTCGAGAGGAGACGCAGAACTGCCTTCAACGCAAGGAGAAACGCAACAGGAGGAAGAACCGCACCGTCACGGCTCCAACACCAGACTCGACATCCACCTGCAGCTACTGTGGCCCTGTGGTAGTGTGCCTGTCACGCACCGGCCTTGTCAGCCACTAGCGAGCTTGCAGCAGAAGTGGGAAGGCCGGCCCCTGAAATCTTCGATAACGAAGCCAAGCCAACACTCGCTCCACGGCATTTCTTGACTACAGAACAATGAATAGCAAGGTCGGAAACGGCAGCGCGAACTTCTCTGGAACGTCTTCCACGACAACGACAGTGTCGTACCGCAGCGTCCCTGCCAACGCGACGGCCCCGTCCCTCCCGTACCCAGGGTACCGCGGGCCCGCCGCCTTGCCCGCCTGGCTCCAGGCTCTGGCCTCCGTGACGCTGGTCTTCATGATCACCGTCGGAATCTTCGGTAACATCCTCATCCTCATCGTCAACAGGTACATAAATGTTTTGCCCATTTTGTCCAAAGCATATTGAAGTTGAATTTCACTTTGTTATGGAATGCACTAAATATGATGTTTTACGTAATAAGCTATTTACATTTATCGAATCAAGTACAACAGATTTCAAGAGTCTCGATGCTAGAGACGGATTTGAATATATCTTAACATGCAATAATTCCCACAATGCAAAAATAGGTAAATACATGTATATAAAAGACTTCAAAGACTTGTGCTAGCCCCTGTTCTTTGAGTAATTAGGATATATTGTTAAGTCTTTATTCTACATTTTATGTTAGAGAATATTAAGTTGTTCCTAAGTTTAGTTCACAGCCACATTGTCTGTGTCCTTTGATTTGTATTCATTACTGTTTTTTTTTTCGAATAAAAAAAACAGGTACATCATGAAGAGGAGAAAGACGTGGCCGACCGTCTTGCTGCGGTGGCTGGCCTGGACGGACGTCCTCAACTGTTCCATCGGCCTCGTCATCCCGCTGGTGGGGTACTTCGTGGACGTGTACTCCGTCGCCGCCTTGTGCGACCTGAACGGAATCGTGCTGTTCGGACTCAGCGTCGCCTCGCAACTCATCGTGGCCCTCATGAGCGCGGAGCGGTGCCTCTCCCTGCTCAAACCCTTCGCCTACGAGGCGCACTTCGGTCCCGACAGCGTGAAAATGTACTACATCCTCGGCGGCATAGTTCTGTACTCTCTAATCGTGGCCTTACTCCCGACGTTCGGACTGAACAGAAACGTGCCGCACTACCCCTACACGTTCTGCATGTTCGACTTCACGGACACGACCCCCGGAGGACGCTTTGTCGTGTACCTGAACTTCATCAACCTGAGCGGATGTCTGGTGATCATACTGGTGGCGAACGTCCTGATCGCCGTGTACGCCTGGCGGTTTCGCCAGGTGTTCCCTACACCTGAGGAAGACGGCGAGGGGACAGGTAAGAACTTCAAGTTCATCACAGGTTCTCTTATGAATGAATGAATGAATGAATGCTTTATTATGGTCGTTATGATCAGTAGGTAAAAGACATCACAGTCACAGGCGTCTTTTTATAGATAATATAAACTGGCGTCTTTTTATTGATAATATAAACTAACTATTGACTTCTTAAATATTTATCGTTCCAAATCTGCACAAATTGAACACACATCAAACAATTACATTGAATACTACTTTAAAACAGGCAGATTACAGTATAGCCTTCCGTTTACATTGCGTACTTGATCGCAAGTAGTCAGTCTCTCGTTATGTATCTTTTGACAGAGAGACAATATCAAATCACTGTTTCCAAACAGTGTAGCGAACGTTTTAGCACGCTCTGGTCGTCCCTTTCTATAAAACAGCCGTTTCATGATATAGTTATATCTCACACAAGTTAGTTCTAATAGTGTCTTGACATAAGTACGCAACCGGACGCAGAACACATCAACAAGCAATAACGTGTTACATAAAGGTTACATTAACAACTTTTCATTGAAAGTTCCACGTTACAGGGTTTGCACCAACTTACTCTAATCCTACGTCAAGTAGTCTAATTATGTTAATGTTGAATTCTCAGGGTCTTTATGACTGCTTTATGATATGTTATTATTAGAACGAGGCGCCCGTAAAGTGTAACACTAAGTTTGGCACAACACAAACTTACACAATGGAATAAGGCTATTTGAGGCCGTCCGTCGGGGCAGCCCTGAATAGAACGTGAATAGAAACTAACAGCTACATACTTGGTAATAGGTTCACACTGTGGGTTCATCACCCAGGCAACTACATTTGTGTACGGATATTTTCCTTTGAATGAATTGAACGCTATTCCGGCTATCGGGCGATGTTACGTTAGTCCACTTAGCGATCGCATTATATCATTGAATAACCCTGGTAATAATTGTCTTCGATTTCCGCAAACTTCAAAGCCAAAATAGCACGTTTGACAGGCTGAATGAAAGTTTTATTAATTAAAGGGAACTATGTGGCTCCAGGCGCCTTACTGTTGGAGAGCCTGCGGTGTGAAAGATGTAGGTTAGCTTGAGAAATTAATCCACTCTACTTTTTATTTAATGATTACGTTTAGTAAACAAATAAACAAAACAAAAGCAAGCTAGAAAGAGCACACAACAGAAGAGTTAACGTTTATCTTGCAGATTCCGACGGGAGACGCGGGTCCAGACGACGCCAGGTGACGCATGACAGGAGGCTGCAGACGAGACTAGCCAAGCTGACTCTGGCCGTGGCGACGTGCTTCACTATGTGCTGGCTGCTCTTCGCTGTGAGTAATACACTTTGCATTTGTCAGAACGGACGGTACAACGTATTGTAACACTGTTGACGTGTAGCATCTAGGGATTCTGACTTTGCATATTATAGGGTCAGGAAGTAATGAACATTTGCTTACAGGCCTGTAGGTGTTACTTAATATACAGAAATTAGTCAGAAATTCAGAATCCCTGGATGTTACACTTCAACGGATAGTGTTACCATACGTTGTACGTACCTGTCGGCCACAGTGTGATCGTTAAGCTACCAACGAATGAACTTCAGGGTAGTGTTATTGCCTGAAAAGATTAAGAAAAGCTAAGTGCGACGACGGTTTTCCTTTGAAGCTTTCCTTTACTTTCATGGCTCTCCTGTGCCAGTACTTAAAACCAGATACATGTACATGTTTTTGAATCTCTGGCAGCGCCATCCACTGGTATTAAAGGTGCCGGATGTTGTTGGGAATTCTGACAGAAAAACAGCTGCTAAAGTAGGTCGCACCACGGTGTTTCTGAATCGTGGCAGAATATCAAAATCAGATCAATGGCACTCCAGAATGTGTGCCCTGGCTGACTTGTTTGCGTAGGTTGTGCGGTGCAGTTTTGATAGATAACAAGCCAAGATATCCTTTCACACAGCATTTATTTCGACACCGTCTCTTTGGTAGTGCTCGCAGTGGGTTCCCAATGCGTTTCCAGTGAGCCTTTACAGGTCGCAGGTCAACCATCTGAAACTGTCACAAAGTTTGTGTGTCTCACACTTCTCAATGAATCACTCCTTCCCAAGGTGTAACATCCTTCAACGACTCACGTATATATCCCCGGTTTCTTCCTTGGAACCTGGTGTCTGTTATTTTTTAACAGGATAACGTTAGATATTTTCTTTGGCAAGCTTTGTGGAAGTGTGATTGCATGTCACCATCAAACATACGGAGGCATGAGGTCATTCAATGTCTGTATGTCTCTCTCTCTCTGTGTTTCAGACATTTTAAGTCAGCATAACTTAAGAAGGTTTGGATGGATTGCCATGTTGTTTTTGTTTGTTTGTTTGTCTGCGTGTGTGTGTAGTTGCAAGAACGAAGGCCAAGCTCAAATGTGGGTCTCCTGGTTGCTGTCCTTGGTACTGAAGCGGAACTTCCGGTGCCCTGCTGACACAGTGGATAGACAATCCCAAAGCCTATGGAACTATACCTTTATCTTACCTTTTCTATGGTTCCAGGTGCGTATCCTGACGAACCAGCTGCAGGTGTGGTTGGACGATGACGTGGACTTCCTGGCGGCCCGTCTGATGTCCTTCAACAGCGTCATCAACCCCCTGCTGTACATCGCCATCTGCCGGCCGTACCGCAGGGGATGCTGGGTCATCCTGCTCACGGCGTTCCACTACCTCACCTGCCGGGGCGCCAGGAAGCCCGACACCACGCTGAACCAGTCTGTCGCCTAAACCCCCGTGTTAGCCTATACCAGGCTTCGGGAGGCGGCTGGAAAGAGTAGAAATTGGACAAATGACATGCCAGGGGAGTTGGTCCGCTAGATCTCGAGAGTACAGTTTAGTTTGTCGCCTAAGCCCCCGTTAGGCACTACCAGGCTTCGAGAGGCGGCTGGAAAGAGTAGAAATTGACCAAATAGATAGATAACATGCCAGGGGAGTTGACCAGCTAGAGAATACAGTTTGCCGCGCCCGAAAAACTGTACTCTCGATTTACTGGACCAACTCCCCTGGTATGTTATCTCTTTATTTGGCCAATTTTTAATCTTGCAGCCGCCTCCCGAAGCCTGGTAGAGGCTAGTCCCCGTCAAACGCGAGAACTAGAGCATGCAACATTTCAGTGTGAACACCGGAGTCATCTACTTCCGGGGCCTCAGCATTGGCGTTGACAAATGTCAGAGCCACCTACCCAAAAATAAACAGAGACATATGTGAGAGTGCCGTAGATTTTGGTATCGTGTTTTGAATTGCCGGAAAGCAGGTCATCAACAGGTTGTTGGGTTGTCTCGGGCCTCCGGTGGTGTAAGCTCCAAGCAGATCTTTTGGTATATGGTTGCTGCAAAGACAGAATCAAATTGGCCAGGCTGTAGTGTATCCATTGCCAGGCAGTTGCCATTTCGCCACCGAAGATCTGTCCGAACGAAGGTGACGAAATGGTAACTGTCTGCCCAATGGATACAGCCTGGCCAATTTGATTCTGTCTTTGAAGCAACCGAAAGATCTGCTTGGAGATTACCTGTGGCGTACGTGGCTCAATCCGCATAAACCTGTCTTGTGCCAACTTCTAATCTCGACGCAGATGTTGGAAGCTAGACTAGTATCGGGCGCTTTGCCGTTTCCCTTCGGTAGCCAAAAGCACTTTACCCGAGGGGAGTTGGCCAGCCCTTTTACTTTTAGGTATCTGTACGGATACCTAATTTATGACATGTACATGTAACGTTACCTATATTAATAACATGTCCAAGAAACTGACAGAAACGTGAAGTGTGACCACACAACTTTTATTTCTACATTTCTCTAAACAAACTGAATAAAACGGTAGATACGTGACACACTGGTCATAAATATATTACTGGTAAATTTTTCAGCAGTACAAAAATAGGCTGCAAATGGCTGTATAAAAAAGTACAAAGCTACTTACAACAAGAAAAGGAATGAGATGTTGTAACCAACAGAACCTACAACTAAACTTGCTATAGTACAAATATAAACATTCACACTTACTGCATCGTCTGCAGTGTTGTTTTCTCTCATTTATGGCAATATTGCACAGACACTTGATGGTGCTTGGTGTACCATACAAAAAACTTGACTAACAGTTTCACTAGTCTTCACAGTCGAGTCATGTCTGTGTTATATATACATACATAAATCGTGACATTAAGAGATTTTCCTAGGAAGTTCAACACAGTAACTTTTCGAGACTTCTGATTGCTTTTCTTGGGTTACAAGGTCATGAAGAGATCATCAAAATGGAACCTACAGAATGGGCGTTTCCATCACCGTGGCAACGGATGCTATGGCTACACAATGCATGATGGGAGAACAAGCATACCAGCACTTGATGAAGCAGATTGGCAAGGAATCATTCCTGAAAACCCACAGGCTTTTCCTATGTAGAGATATAACATTACTTATGCATAATTTGAAGCATTTCCATGACAATGCTGTCATTTGGATGTGCGTGTGTTTCAGATCTAGACCATATGGGCAGTTACTACAGAAACATGGTCTGATGTTGTCTCACTGAAAAAAAAAGGCACAAAGTACTAACCGGTGCTAAGTACTGTACAAAATTTGCTGGTGTTAAAAGGTAACAGAAAAATCCAAAGACTAAAACTTGCTATACACCTGACTAGTGAGGACATATCACGTTATGTATTGTGGTGTTAAACTAAGGATCTCATCTTTAATGCCAGGCAGAACTTAGCTTGGTCCACACACTGAACAGTATCTGAACAGCACATTAAAAAAAGTCTGGTACTCCACAGTTTAAACATCTCCTAGAAGAGTCTTGGTGCTTGATTGCTTTTGTGACAAAAACAAGATTGCTTTTGTGAATACTGCTGTGAATTTGTTCGAACTGCGAGAAGAAAAATACTGCAATTCTAGTGTTTCAACGGTGCACCAGTAACAACTACATACATGTAAGTTTATGTGCTTGTTGGCCCTGAATATCAGGAAGAATACCACGTTTTCCTATGCAATATTTTTTTGACACCATAACCTTGGGCACCAGTGTACATCAACCTTTTAGTTGCCACAAATGTGTTGAAGCTGCAGTGCATGATTTGTACAGGAAAATGGAAAGAAACTTTTGTCCTTGGCATATTAAAAGTACACGGTCTGAATTTTAAAACCTTACCAGATGTAGTATCATTGTGATAGAACATCAAAAAGGAATTCTTCTTCTGGCTGCTAAACTGAACTATAACTTGGATACCATTCTCGTTGTTTAGTTTGTTCTAGAAAAGAGGATGGTACCCAGGCTCAGATTGACCCTGTTTCAAACAAACCATGCACCACAGTTTCAGGGTTTCCCACATTACAGTACTGTCACTCTCACGTTCACTGAAATTGCAGCTTTACATCTCGTACGAAAGGACACAAAATTCCACAAGAACAATTTGGAAATAATTACATAATTACAAAAAAAATTGATAACAATATATTTACATGATTTGTCACAGCGATTAAACATTGTTGTTAATATCATCATACAATCTACAAAACAGCAACTCTGATCTAATAAAGCGCTGAACGTAAATCTCATTAGTTTCTTTGGCTAGAAAAGAGGGATAATTTTCCTGAAAACTTATCTCTAATAATAAAGTATGTATTAAACAGTACTTACAAAGCAATCGCATCTAATATTCTATTAAACAGCTGCTCTTTGAATAAAAGGAAGCTCTTTGGCATCAAAGAAACAGAGACATGAAAGCAAGCAATAAAGCATCTCATGCAAAGAGCTTGACTACATGCATGGATATTACTAATCATATAAGAAATTCAAGCACCAAAGTTTGAAAAAAGATATTATTTACAATTGCTGTACATAAAGTTTCATTCTTCTGGCTTTTTAAAACCCTTGGTATATTTGGTAAAGTAAGTGGGTAAGAAAGTGTACTGCGAGTAACACTGGTTTTCAAGTATCTGCATTTTGTCTCATTGTCGACTATTGTAACAAACATTTTAAAACAAAACTTTCTTATAATACTTTCTTTACATTTGCTTAATAATAGTCAGTGCTGCTACCCCTACAACTTTATCACTTTGCAGAAAGTCAAACTGTCACTGACAAAGACATACTGCAAATATTTCTAGCAAGACGACAGCAACCGATATGTGCTATTGCAGATGACACTGGTTAGGAGCCCCTCTAGATCTCCTTACGGTAATCTCTGTAACACGTTCTGTAAGAAGTTTTCACAAAGATGATCCAGGTTATCAGAAGTTGGTCACATAATGTAATCTCTTAACCTTTCTGTACAGAGTTGTTCTTAAGGGTGAAAACTGCCTTTTGTGTGGTAATATTGCAAGTTCGTAAAACCAACAGGATACTGGAAAACTAAACTTGAACAGACGCTGTACAGAAACAGTTTGTTTTCATCTCTGGACAGGTAGAATTTTTCCTATGGCTTGGCAGTCTGCACAAATTGTACAGTTTTAAGGTAATTTTGTGCCCAGTTATGATCTAAAATGGCAAAAGTGGTTGCAATTTGCTCCTCGTTGCCATCCTGTAACACAATTTGCCTAAACCCTTATTTTGGCCACAATTGGTTCTGTTGAGAAGTGTCCTTGTCCTTGGTACTAGTATGCCTTCCACCCCTTTCCACAGAATGCCTAAAGATCCTTGAGTTTTCCCTAACCAAACTTGGCACTTGGGTGGTGAAGTTTCCACCTTTATCGGGGACAAAGCAAGACTACTATTAAACGAGACGTCTTCTTCTTTTTTACACACGTCTCTATACAAGGTGCCCCCGCTGGTCGTAATGGTCGTAGTTCCTGTTGTTGGGTGCTTGGCTGCCGTACGGGTTTTTGTCGTAGGAGCCCCTGGATGTGTGCGAGCCTCTGCTGGAGGGTGCGCCGCCACCGTAGTCCAGTCCGTAGGTGTTGATGGTCCCATCGTCATCCACTAGCCGTGGGGTGGCCTGGAGAAATCCAACACACATCGTCAGTTTGCATCTGTATCTGTATCGCCTGTATAACCACCCTTTGTTTGCCGTAGCACCAACTTGTGGATGTGTATCAGTATAGCTGGTATAACTGCCCTTTGGCATAATATACCAACTTCTGTATCTATATCTGTATACATGTAGCTGGTATAGCTGCCCTTCAGTGTAACACACCAGCTTTGCAGGCACATAAATGTATATCGCTGCACAATCTGTAACACCTCTTCTCTGCACATCTATCTAGTGATGATGCCCCTACTTTATTTGTTGGCAGTGAGTTCCAAGTTTTGGCATGCTGAAATGTCTGGGACATCTTTTGGATGCTAATACTGATTTCAGAGCCAGGTGATGCTGACTGAGAGTTCCTAAGGTTTCAAATAACCAATACTGCATTTGCAGAAAATGATCCCTTTCTCTCGCTCGAACGCCACGTACGGGCTCCACCAACACGACACCTAGTACCAACCCGGCGGATACAAACCTCAGCTGATAGCAAGGGTATACCCACCCTAGCGTCCTGCTCAATGGCTCCCGGGTTAATGTCATCAAAGGTGGGGGGGTAGGTGGGTCTCGGGGGGTAGTCCTGCTCTGGGGGGTAGTCGCTGTAGTTACTGGCATAAGCGCTGTCTGGATAGATGGGTCCAAGGGCTGGGGAACTCCGCTGAGGAGGGGGCTTGCCTGCGTGGGTGAGATATAGTGAGACTTTTTTTTAGAGGCTGGCATCTTTGTAAGCTACTTGCCACAGTGAGCAACAATCAAACCGAATAGGATCAAATTATACTACGAGGTTGCCATCTTTAAGCTCCATGCCACAGTGAGCAACAATCAACTACATAAGTAGATTTATACAATGGACACACAGTGAAAATAGTGCAGAGACAAGGAAGTGACAAGGAAGAAGGAAACAGCTACTTTGTTACAGATCAAATCACAGTTGCCAAGTGACTTTTGTTAAAGTTACTGTCAGTGACGCACACAATCTACAACTCAAAATAATTACCAAAATTTTTGACATCACTTGGACTTCCCCAGACAGCTCAGGGGATACAGTTCAAAGTTCTGATAATGTATCTTATCAACTGCTCATGCTATATTGTACATGTAGGTTCCTCACCGAAGGGGTCCCAGTGCACGCCAGGCTGCCCGTCATCCCGGTATCTCTCGTAGTTGTACGGCTCATCCTGGCGGTAGAGTGTCGGGTCTGGATGGTAGTAGTTGCCCTTGTCCAGCGCCTCCTGAAGGTCAAAGTCGCTGTACGGCTCGCCGTGCTCGTCCTCGTAGGGGTCGAGGGGTCGTTTCGGGCTGTGGTTTTTGATGATGTCACCATAGTTGTCAGGGGACAAGTCATTGAGGTGTAAGACACCGTTGGGCCTAGTAGACATGCAATGACAACACACTCTTTTCAGCCATCTTGTCTGTAGTGCAATTTCTACAGGCTGTCGTAAGTAATTATGTTAGTCTGGTTTGTTGGAGGTGGGTGGAACGCACCAGGAATTTGTACCATGCACTGTGAGCCAGCCACACTGTGAACCTCAGCCAAGAACAGCTACATGTAGAGTACCAGAGAGAGAGCTTTTTTAGTGCACTGCGTGACAAGTGAAGAAGAGGCCAAGCCAAAGAGCAATGCAGATTCAAGAATCATGTGTCAATGAAGAGAGCCATTTAGTGCATTTCTGTTGAAAGGGATGGATACACACATTTGAATATCAGCGTTTGGCAAAAAATAATGTTTACATATGTTGGACCAGCCTTGCAAAGCAAAGCATTTGTATATTGCTTCTTGCCAGCATGCAATCTTCTGTCAGTTTTAAAATGTGTTGTCTTTGGTTAACTTTCATTGCGAATTTTGCAGTGTGCCAGACACTCCTAAAATAATGAAAGGGCTTTTCTGGTAAAGTTGTTGCTTGTTACGAAGATGTGGAGAAAAGTGCACTTCAAGAGAACTGGAAGGACCACTGTCCCACCAAAGAGACTTCTGAAACGCACTCTATCACTTTAAACACTGTTACAAAATCAAATCTTTTCTACTATCTCAAAAGCAAAACCTACACAAACATTCTAACTAGATTTCAATTAAGTTTGGAGAAAGGTCTATGGATAGAAGTATGATTTAGAAATATTATCACAATATCAGACCTTGTTGTTGGTGACAATTTTTACAGTGAGGAAAGGAATTGTGAGGGTAATTATTAGCAGCATTATAAATGACTTCCATTCAGATGTTAAAAGAGCAGCATTTTTTTGGTTACATGCTACTGTTATAGTGAGAAGGTGCTGGGGGTATTTGGGCGGCTCGTTCTCTTGTGAGGTCTCTGTGGAGGGACCGTTCCCCAGTGCACGGGATCGGGAAACTCTTTATAGCTGTTACAGGGTGAGGAATCACAGAGAGAGACATCGTCTGTACATGTTACAAAACACGGCACAGGAGAAAAGCAGCCCAAGATTATGGTTCTGTAGCCATCCTGTTCTTTCACTGCCATGTCTAAGAAATGTTTTGATGATCTTGACTGCACATTATAGGATGGATAGGACACACTCAGAATAGCAAAGTTCTTTATTCACAACCACTTGTTAAGTTGTTTAATAGGAGCTAACGTTTCAAAGACCGTCTGTTATCTTCATCAGGTCTATCTATCATGACAGCCAGCCATTGAAATGTCAGCCCCTTTTAGACATGTGGTTGGAAATATAGAACTTTGCTATTCAATCATTCAGCAACCTGATGAAATCATTTGCAGAGCGCATACTCAGGTTTGCCATTGCCTTAATCATCCCATTTGTAGCTCTGTAATGAACTCAGTTCGGTACAACTTCTTTATTTTGTTTGAGCAGCACAGGAACAAGCTAAAGAACCATTGTCTTGGAGAAAATTTATCCTGTGGATTAGATGCTTTAATTTCTGGGAGTGCAAAATTAAAGAATGCCCCTGATGTTGGGGTGGCTTTGATGTATTATTCTTTACTTGTAAAGATAAACCAGTTTGAAGAATGAGCTATGCAAATGCTGCAAAGTAAGTTTAAGACCTAAGATGTTGATACATCATGTTCCTAACTAACAAACTGCAAAGATGCTTGAATAGCAACCAAATAATGAGAAAATTATTACTTGACCAGACAGATAGGTATTGATAACAACATATAACATACATGTACATGTATGTACAAAGAGATTGTAATTTTTATCCTTTTGAGAAATGCTTGGAAGTATGCAACACTGAATTACAGGCAAGTTACATTTTGATGTGGTGTTTCAGGCAAGCTAAGCTGTAAAAAGCATGTGAGCTCGTAATTCAATCTGCTCTTCCACAATCATGAAACAGAAGCCAGAATGGAGTGAATGTTCAAGAAATACTGGGTAATTTCCTAATGTAAAATTCTAGCTCAGCAAGATATATTCCATACAGAAAGAGTCGATACTTACAAGTCTACTGTCTCTAATGTGGCAGCATCCTCTGTAAAAACAAATAAGAAAGTTTCAATAATGAGGTTATACTGTTGGCATCAACAGAACATATCAATTTTCAATGATTGTAACGTTCTAGATATATTTTTGTCCTGGTTAAGACAACAAGACATGTACTCACCATTCAACATAGTTTTCTTACTTAGGTGCTGCACAAATTTGTTTTTCTCTCAACTGACATTTCAGCAGCCTATCTGCTGACTTCATCACGGCAAAGTAAACTTTCTCCTTGTCATGTGGGTGTGACATAATGAGAGATAAATAAGGTTTTGTACCAAAGAAAACTACATGTACTGTATGTTGAAGAATTGGTGGTCCCTTAGAAAATTTTTTCTCATTGACAAAAGCCTGTCTATGGTGAATCCTGTCTTTGATTTTATTGTTCCCTGAGTGGTGTTCTTGGGCAGTTTTGACTGTACCAATTTTTCAAAATTCTAGAAATATGTTTGTCCTGGATGAGACCTGAAAAGTTAGTCTTCCACTCGTTGTGACAAAGAAGACAGACGCTATGTACAGTGGTTACAGGATCATTGTAATTTGTACCAGGGAAATTCCCCTTGCTCTCTTCGACAAGCACAATGAACAGTGGACCACAGCTTAACGTCCCATCCTAGGGACTTCGGCCGTTTCCAGTAGCATGCATGTCAGGTGAGCAACAACAGCCGGGAATCAAAACTCCCAACCTCTTGGACCAGAGGCACGGTTGCTTTAACTACTGGACTATGCACGCTACTGCAAGACATTTCCTCACCGTCTTTCTTGGCGGCCTCTCTCCTGGCTTTCCTCCTCCTCCTCCACCAGCGGACCAGAAACACGATGAGGATGATGTTGAGCAGGAGGCAGAGGGCCCCGGCAACCGCCACGCCGATGATCACTTCTCTTGAGATTCCGCCTGCTTTTTGTGGACAAGAAGAAAACTGTTGGTCAGGGAAACTGTAGACAATGCCCCTTGGAAAGACTTAAAGATGACCAGGTATTATAAAATATGCTGACTTCTTCTGCTTGAAATGTTTTGAGTTGCTGCCACAATTGTGTTACCCTACACATAATTTTGAAGTAAATATAGGAGTGGCTGATGTCGAAGGATATTTTTAAAAGGCCGTACTACAATTTTTACTTCAATCTACACCATGCATTTGAACTGTCATCTCATGTATCATCCAGTAGGGTCACAACTAGTTCTCAGGATTAGAAACAAGTTTCATTTTGTAAGTTTCATATGTCATACATATACATTTTTGGAGTTGAAGGAAATTTTGAAGGTCCAAACTGTAGGCAAACTATGCTTCACTGCTTGCTGTACTAATGCCAATGATAAAGTTTCATATTTCAATACATACTTCCGTCACTACCATTAATACACATTAGGGTAATGTTATTACTGTATTGGACAATAGACAGGTTGGTTGAAATAGGGTAGGATTTATATGCCCATGCACTGATTAGGAAACAACATATGGCAGCACAGGGGAAAAACAAAGTAATGTTTAGTCACGATTGGTGTTAATAACACTGGAAGTAAACATTTCCTGTTTGAACTTTTCGTTGCACCAGGGAATTCTTAGAACTGGTAGGATTTTTGTGACGTCTGAGCCTTATTAATTTCCTAAAATGACAATAAAATCGCATATACATGTACTGTGTAGCCATATTACATCTGAGTTACATTTCTTCAAAGGTCTTCATTGACCAACGACGCCTGTAAAATCGTTACAAGGGTAATACAAATGTATATATTTATCATGAGTATGGTAAGCAAGCAAGCAAACAGACAGACAAGGCAGTAGAGGTCTTGGGAGCCGTACAAACGGCCACACGCTTCAACCACAGGCCTGACACTCAGCAGCAGACTAGCCCCTGCTCTAGTGCTTGCACAAACTTTGTGGCCCCATTTTTTTTCATAAATGGAGATGGGCACCTATGGAGAGGAGTGGGTCTTTTTGTGAACCCTTTCTGATATGAGTGTCAGGACTGTGGTTCTAGCTTGTGACCAGGGACAGGAGAACACAGAAGCATGCACGAAGAGTCACCAGTGTGTACCTGCTGGGCCGGCGATCCCCGATGATTCACCTACGTGGAAACAATCCAGGAATTCATTGTTTGCACCCAAAGGCAGTAGTGAGAGGACCACTATATTTCCTCACATAAAAGCATATCTCCCAATATGTCCACAACATTTTATGGATCATCTATAATATTGAAACAGGTGCATTATCTTAAAACTCCTTGATACAGTTGTTCCAGAAGTTATCGGTGGTGAACATGCTTTTAAATAGAGGAAATACAGTCTCACAAACTTTTGGCATAGTATCCCGAAATCCACTACACGCATTTGTATATTGCACCATTTCTATGGATCATATTGAAGATTGGTCATCGCATCTCCAATTGTGCATGCATTGTGACTCAAGTCAAGATACAAAACATACAGTACATGTATTACTAGTACATGTGAAAGTAGTGGATTTTTGGGATACTGCACCAGTTGTCCATTTGAGAAATAATTAAGAAATGAACAGAACGGTGACAGAGAGAAAAGTAGCATGAAAAGTCAAAAGCAACCTTACATATCTTAGAATCAAAGCGATAGGTCATGCAAAGAACGTATGTAGGCAGAAATGAAGCTACCTCTAGCTTTTAGTGCAAAGTGCAAGTAGGTATTCGCCTTAAGATAAGATAAATTGAATGTCTTCTCTCATCTCACTTTACAGGTCTTTTCAAATTACATGTCAGACAGGCGTACAGTCAGATATGATAAAAAACATGCTGAAATTGAGAATGTCAGGAGCCAGCCACACATTACATGCTGTGACATTTTCAAAATGTTCACTGGGTGCCATCTAGTCATTTGTCTTTGTCAAGCAGTAGAAAAGGAATGGATCTGTTTTTGATAGGTTTGAGGCTATGAAGATAATTGAGTACAGAATCAATGCAGTCAAATTTCGTCATACTATCTTTTCAATGGTTGAAGAGTAAATATCAAATTTTGTCATATCATCTTTCTCAAATGCTTGAGGAGTAAAGACGAAATTTTGTCATGTCATTTCTTTCGAATGCTTAAAGACTAAAGACCAGTAAGACAATCATCATATTTTTCAACCTTGACTGTGCATGCAAGAAAATAGACACCATAAATCTTAAATCAAATAGAACATGAAGATACTAGAAGTCAAACTTAAACTCAAATCATAAAACAATTTTTAGAGAGAGTTGATAGAAGATACAAAGAGAGGACATTGTAACATGTTTTCGAATTCGAACTGTGAAATATGACATTAAGAGACTTACTTGTGAGTACAGGATCATCGAGAGGGAGATAGTCGCTTTCACCAAGACTGTTGATGGAAGTGACGGCAAATTCATACGCAGTGTTAGGGTCCAGCCCCGTCACTGTGTAGGTTGTGGCGTTGGGAGGTGTGACATCAACATACACAAAGCCCTGTCTTCCTTGCTTGTTGTAGCGGATCTGGAAAAGAGTAGAAAAAAATGTCATTTTCACTGGCATTTCTCGAAAGGTGAGGGCTTTTTACCATGGGTTGGTAAAAGTTTGGGGACGGTTTTATTACACAAGATACATGTTTAACATCGAAACATTCTTGCTTGTTGCACAAAAAAGGTGGTCATATAATCTGCATCAACAGCTGCCACTTGAAGCTCCTTGATGGAAACCTACTTTGCAAAGGCAACTTAGTTATACAATTCTCCCACATCCTCCAATGAGATCAACACGTTTTGCCTAACTCTCCAGCTCTACGTGTTTCAGTGAAACTTGTTCCCAGCCTTCTTGCCTAACACATTGACCACAATGTTTTTTCCAAGGTGACCGTGCATGTGGGGTGGTCTATATTTGTATGTTGATTCGTTTAGCAGGTTCAAGCTTAAGGGAAGGATGTTTTTCCCAGCGCTCCGTTGGCACAATGCCTACAAACACTCATTTGCAATGGCCAGTGGAGCTACAGAGATCTCTCGATGTTTTGACATGCATGTTTTGCTGCAAATCGAAAGTTCTTCGTGAACACTGTACAACACTGACGTAAATACATGCACAAGGGAGTTTTACATGTGATAACAGCTTTAAATGTCACCATGTCAAAGGTTAGTTCTGGATTGCATGTCAAAAATGACAGGCAATTATTTATTTACTTTGATGTAGAAATCAAAGTCAAGAAACAAGAAAGCAGATTCATGACCAACAACCAAATGAATACTTAAATAGGAACTGGATTAAGGCAGACAGAATTTTTCTTGATATCTTTGATCAAAATGGCCATCTTCCGCATGTTCTAATACAATGTTCTGTCAGGATAGCTGTTTAGTAGCTTGATGCTGACATCATGTCATGGTTTAGGAATGAGGAATGCTGCGCTGTGGGCAGCTGCATTCCCTCAGTCCCTGCAGGCAGGCTGGCACGTCTGCAGGCATGCTGCAGGGCCCTGCCCTTCTGACCAGGTCAACACCTCACATCCTCAACAACCAAAACTGCAGATGGTCCATCTACTAGAGTATGCCAGTTATACCAAGCTGCAGGTCTACTAACAGACCAGAGAACATCTTATAAAAGAGGGCCTGCATGGGGGAAGTGATTACGAATTACGCAAAATTTTCCTCGCCGATTACCCATTACATTAAATTCTCAGAGTACACGTATGTTGAAGACGTAATTTTGTCAAGATATATGTCACAGATTGGAAGAGTGACACATAATAACGATGGTAAAAACAATGTACACAATATACACTCAATGATTACCGAAATACTCAAAAGTCTGCTGGCTGATACGGACGATTCATTGATTGATTGATTGATTTATGTATCATGCTAAAAGGTGTCAAATTTATGGTTCCTAGCCTAGACTATTTAATATGGGTAAAGAATAACTGAAGTGCTATTTATGGGTTCACCACACCACGAAGTGGTGTGGTGAAACCATATTGCTTTTTCTGATGTTTCTTCTTCTCCTCCTGCCATTTTTTAAATGGATTCAGCTTCTTCATTTTAGGGCCCAAGGTCCTGAAATTTGGTATGGAGGTACAGTGGGCAAATACCCCTAGGCATTTTTTAAATTATTGTGATACAGGCTTTTAGAATGGTTTTATTTGAGTTTTTTGGCTGTGTTATAGCAAATGTATTACTGTGTTAGTTTGCCTTGTTTACCACGTTTGGGCATGAGTCATCACAATGGAATGCAGGGCATCAACCAATAGGCATGCAGCTTTCCTCTATACTTCTTGCTGATTGGCTGTTGGGATTTAACTTGATTAACACCTGCACAGAAGCATTTCCATACTGACAGTATGTCTGTATTCAAGTGTTTTGGTAGGTATTTCAAGCTTTCCTGCTCCAGCATTGGAATGCCGGGCATGAACGTTATTTTTATTTTGAAAATCAACAGTTTGCATTATGCAATTAAAATCCTAACCAATAAAGTAGGGAATAGCTATCCAACTGTTGTTTTAGTTGTATTTTACTTCATATTATAGTTATATAAATCACTGTTTTCCCTTGTGTTTCCCATTCTTTCCCTGCCATGTCGTAAAATGTGGTGAACCCATCGCTGTATTTGCTCCAAAGCAAATATTGGCCTTTCTAGTTCATAATTCATTCTTGTGGTGTATATGCATGGTGTGACCACAGGACACCAATTCAAAATGATGAACACTGTCTTTCAATCGCTACAGCTGTTGAAAACTTGTCAGGATCAAAGTTTGAAACTCTTTTATAAATGATGAGAAGAGGGTTAGTTGTTCTGAAGTTTTCCCCTGGTGGGTTGCAGCTGTCACATCTGAACTGCCAAAAAAGGAAAGTCAGATGGGTGGGGTTGGAGCAAAAGTTGTGGATAGGCATTTCATTCAGGCTGACATGCATGCCCGAGTAAAGCTCCTAGGGTCATGCATCATAAGTCATCATAAGTAGGTGGGATGAATACGAAATTTGAATTTTCATATCTGTGTCTTTTAAAAAAACGGAACTGGAAAATTTCCCCGTAAGATATGAGTGTCCTGTCTGTGATTTCCAATTTTCATGAAATGGCATAAAATTGAAAATCTTAGGATGTAAGGGAGTTAGTAAGTGTTGGATTCAAAATCATGACAGTCATGTTCGTTTATCAGTTTTTTTTCTGAGCACTTTACCGGAGCCTAGCATGTTCCCTTCACTGGCTTAAGTTCAGAGGTCAAGGTCTTGCATGGGTCAACCTTTGCATGAACTTAGCACAACATCCAGATGTGAAATGTCACCTTCACTGAGGAAACAAGGCCGTGGGTGAAGAATAATACACTTCAAACTTGCACCAAGCTTAAATTAAAATTTTGATCTTTGAAAGTAATAGCTCATGGTACAACATGGTACAGTATTCCATGTACATCATTTGCTGGAGTGGTCTATCACTATTGACATTTTTAGAGGTTCTCTGATTATAGAATTTGCAAAGGGATTTGAATGGATGAAAATCCAATTAATGGGGCACTCTGAACCACGATAAATAACCATGACATTCTTATGTGCTTCCTCAAGAATTGTTCTACTTCTTCATTTTGCACTTTTGGTTCAGAGGTTGACGTGCCTATCTTAAATTTTACTGACATACTGACTAAGTAAAAGCAGCTATTAAGTGACGACCCCAAAACCGGGGACGCCGTCTTCGCTTCTGCTCATCAACTACACTTTCCTAGTCCATTTAACTGCCTACAGAGAGGACCCTTGACGTCATGTGCTAATGAGAGGAGTGCATCAGACGCCATCTGCATGTCCCCTGGCTTTTTACAAGACCATTACCGCCCCAGGTCGATGCAATTTTGCCTGCAATCCACAATCTGCCAGCGGAGCTAATGAAATCCATTAGTCACTGGTGGGGGCAGAGCGCATCACAAGCACACCTCACTAACAGGTGGCTGCTGCCCGTGAATTTTGTGTATAAAATCAGGTTGAAACCAGGACAACTTCACAGGTTTTCTGAGGTTGTTCTTGACATGCTAGCATACTGACAAATTTTGCTCAAAAGAAATGTAGATGTTATCCAACATGTGATCCTCCTTCTTCATCATCATCAACATCATCATCAGTCAACATTTAATTGCAATGATCAACTGTTGATAAGAACATGTAGAATGTTCCACTGTTGACACTGGGTCAACAAAAATAAAGTTTTTAATTCTAATGATACATCAAACCAGAAAGAATTGGTGACATTTTCTTTGGTTTGGTGCTGACAGGTCGGGTCAGCAAAAAGAAAATATTCTATTGATATCTCAGACCAGAAGACATGCCTGTTTACTGCTAGGACTGCATCTATGAAATAGGTCAAAGCACTACATGAAGCAGAAGTACCACATTTGAGTAGGGACTGAATGGGTTATAGCTTGATCCAGGATCACTAGAATTGGTTTCCGGTGCAGTGTCAGCTGTTACACTTGGACGGTTGACCTGACCATGAGAGAGTTATGAAACATGTCAAGCCCATTCCACCATTTAGATGATGTATTTACATGACAACTCTCACAGTGGTTTTATTTTGAGGTAACATGAGGTTTTCGCTGTGTTGAAATTTGTAGTTGCGAGAACAGATATATGCGCAGCATTATGATTTTTCAGTAAAAACTGTGAAAAGAATAACCCCGCAAAAGTTCTTGCTGCTGCCCTAGCTATTAAACTGGAAGGATTGCTGCACACGTAACACTGTGAAAGCAATAAAAATAAAACCACCGCAAAAGTATCTGCATTCACAGTGTAATCAAAGATGTGGAACCCCTACCTGGAAGGATTGCTGCACGCCGCCGTCAAACCCGGGAGTCCAGGACAGTGTGACAGACGTGTCTTCCTTCTTCACCAGGGTGACTGAGGTGGGCATGTCTGGTTTACCTGGGGGGGAGGGCGGCAAGGTCAGTATGACTGGGACAACATCAAACAACTTGCTTTTTATTTACTTAATTTTTACCTCAAAACAAGGCTCACATGTTTTGGGTTACATAAACTTCCTTACAATAAGATGCATGTTCCCCAATAAGAGTCATAAATCTTTTAAAAAGTACTAGTATGCAAACAGGCAAAGTATTCATATAATCATCATTAAGCATATCTTATGTGGCATATATTATACTTATACATAAAGATATTGAAGACATCTTTTATAAATTTAAATTTTTTACTCTATTTGCCTTAATGATAAGTATAATTATGCTGCCAAAAATCCTCAAATTCTATCGGCATGGGTGGGGTGGGGGTTCTTACATAAGTTTTGATGCTATTGTTTGAAGCATTAGTACGATGTCTCTATCATGTTTTCTTTTTCAGATATTCTGTTAAAAATGAATCAGTCCACAGACAGACAGATTGACACAGACGTGACAGATGCAGTACTAGCAGCGACGTAATGTCCTGTTACCCTGCAATAACACAGCATAAAAATCAATGGAGCCTTTAATGGGCGAAAAAGCAATATTCGTAACCATGTGTGTAGCTGTGGGGAGGGGAGCAGGGCCATTGGATGTTGTTACCTTCTAACTTTAAATATATGGACAACTTTTACAAAACATAGATGTTGCCTGAGAGTTCGCATCTTTAGATCTTTACAATAGTGATTTTCAATAATCTCCAAGCAGATGTTTTGGTGGCCGCAAAAGACAAGTCTTATCAAATTGGCCAGGCAGTACTCAATGGACACTCCTATGACAAATGGATACTGCCTTGCCACTGTATGATCTGCTTGGAGATTAACATTCAAATCATTGAACTCAGAGTCTGTTTATGAAAAGAGTGTCTTCAAAGTACAGTAACATCTGTATGGTGTAGTGTACAGTACTATGACTACATTTGTGTGTCACCACCTGTTTAGACAGAGCCAAATGGCCGACACTGAAAACCAATCCGCACATTACATCCCCATTACAAGCTATCCATTCAGGAGAATTACTGCAGTTTACTACTGAAAATCAATGTGGACCCCCCTCTTTGGGCAGTAACAGAAGATGGGCCAAATGGCCTCATGGCATGACGCTATCGATTTATGCTGTTATTAAGTCTTAAAGAGTTTAAGTAATGAGAGTGTGATTTACTCTTCAAGAAAAAATGTGTGGAACCATTAAAAAAAGATTGTAAGTGTGGAAGCTTTTTACTAAAAGTATTTCTTATTTTGAACAAATTGTATGATTTTATTGTTATGGTAACATTAGAAAAAGGGTGAATCAGGTTCAGACAACACTGTAAATCCATCATTAGCATATCCGGTAGTGAACAAAATCAATGGGGAAATGTTGCATTAGGATACCAATTCATGGACTAATGCAATTTTACATACTTCTCCCATTTCAACAGTATCGGATTTGCCTCGGAGCAACACAAAGTTGCTATTGATCAGTTATGACCTCCGGAGATGACATCTACTCGTCAGTAGAGAAATTCAGGAGGCACATGATGGGGAGGGAAGAAGGCATGAGAGATGATAACTGATTGATAGAAAATTGCCATGTCTTTTACTGTTCTTAGCCATCTGTAGTATGTATATCGTAGCACAATAAGAGATTGGAAATGGCTCACTGTGGAAGGATAAGTAAGTTGTAATTGCCGTAATTATAAAATGACCAGAGCAGATAGGTGTTGGCAAGGCTGTAACAGACTAGCTTTTGAGCACAGAAAGCTGGGCATCGGAAAATGGCACGCTAAGCTTTCCTTCAAGTTTTATTGCCAAAGCTGAAGTCTTGCAGAAAAGCAAAGGACTTCTTGCTTGTATGAGTAATTTTCTCAAGATACATTTCAAAATCGTCATGGGTAAAAAAAGATGGGAATATTAATGCCCAGGAATAACGTTAACGTTACCTCTGTGCTTTCTGGTTGTAATACTTGTCGTGACGGCCTCCTCAGTGGGGACAGGTTCAGTTGTTGCTTGAACATGCATTTGAAGATGTGTTGTTTTAAGAACTTCAAGGCAAAAGCTTGTTTTTCATCTTGTTATCTGACAAAAGCAGTTGCCTTATTATAAGGGAGCAGGGGCTTTTATGAGGAATGGGTTTGCTTATTCATTTGGGTTTATACCAGCATTTGTTCTTTCATCTCAGTTCTTTAGGGGTAGGGTGTTTTTATTCAGGTTAGTACATAAGTGTACGTTTACGAGCTGTTTGTTAAAACTTACCAAAAAGCAAAAGCAGGGCACATAAACAACAATAAACAAAAACATGTACATGTAGAAAAAAATGACAACATACACAACACAAATATTATTCCAAAAAGTAAGGAGTACATTTTGAAAACTTGATAAAGATGGTTTATCTGATGGTTTGGTTAAAACTTCATACATAATGTCAAACCTGGAATATCATTCATATTTCGTGATAGACAAACATTTTGTTCTGTAATTACAAATAAAATGGGTCTAATTAGCTATTGATTGTTGCTAAGCACAGAATAGCCCCAACAGGATACTGGACATAATACTGTGCCAGACAGGAAGATGATAGTTAATGTAGGGTCAGGATTGACATGGTTGGGAAAGAGGCAGGCACGCAGAGATACATGTACAGGGGAAAATGGTTTTGTTGTCGTTTGAGTTCTTCCTGTCAATTACAGTACTAGTAATAGCATTCCCATATTTAAGGAAGGACTAAAAATGGCAGGTGCTATTTAGCCTCTACCAGGCTTGAGGAGGCGGCTGGAAAGAGTAGAAATCGGCCACTGTTCTCTCAACGGCCAAACTCCCTTGGCATGCTTATCTCTCTATTTTGGCCGATTTCTACTCTTTCCAGCCGCCTCCTCAAGCCTGGTAGAGGCTAGGTGCTATTCACTTTGGAACAGTTCAAAGGAAATATCCGTGAAACGTCACTTCAGAGGTCTGTGGATATTCATTTTCATCAGGTTGGCAAGAGACCTCTTTATTCAACAAACAGTGCAGATGTGAAACCCACTGGTCATCAAATAAGAAACCTTAAAGTTCTCAAACAGTTACTTCAACAATGCTTATTTTGGTTATCGGTGTGAAGTACCTATCATCCTGGAAATTAGACTTATGGCATTCACAGACTCAAAGACGACATCTTATCTAACATTAGGGTCGAAATAGCTATGTACTTCGATAACAGCAGGTGCCTAAGCATTCTGATTGGCCAGGAATGATCAAAATTACCGGCATCTATTCGAAGTCCTAAAAGGAACAGACAGCTGACAATCATGTCAATCACTACCACCACACCTCCCATATAAGGACATCATAATGACAACAGTGGAACACTAACAAATCCTTGTTAGCATTCTCCGGAACATGTCGAGCTATTGATTGATCCAGGCTGTTTGGGGCACTTGGGATGCTGGTACTGCAGGTAGGGGGCAGTGCTGCACCACTGGGCCGTTAGTCTGACAACTGTCTGTTAGAATGACCGGAGCTTGTTATCTGTCTCTTTGATCCTCCACAAAACCTCGAAAGCCAAACAATGACTTTCCTGATTTAAAAACTGCACTTTTTTTGCCCATCCGGCCAGCAGACATTACTGGCCCCTTCATATACAATGTATAGCATATTCTTCTTTGCAGTTTGATGGCCAACATCTACTATAAAATACAAATGTTTTGACAAGAAGCAAGGGTGGATCAGTAGCAATGCGATACTTACTGGTTCATCCCTTATTGAGAGAAAAGGAAAACAAATGGCTGAAGTCTAATCCTTCCAGACCTACAAGGGTAATAGAATATCCATTGACTTTACATTCACTCTGCAAATCCTTGATTCTGGGCTCTAACAAATGGATTATCATTATGTATTCATTTTGCATACATTCTGGGCTCCTAGAAATAGGCTAGAGTACTGGAATTCCCTTGAATAATCAGGACGATCAATGACGTCACATCAAAGTTGTAATTGAAGTGGGAAGCTGGGCACATGAAAGTGGCAGTTCTGGTAACCACCAGGGAGACCAACTCTTTTGACACAGTATCCAAAGCATTCCCCCTGAGTGTGTCTGTGTTTCAGGCTGACTGGCTACATTCTTAGCAGGGAGGAAAACAAACACTCGGAGCAGCATCAACTGTTATTCATGTCCTGCCTTCAAGTCTAACCAAACATCACTGCAGCATGTCTGTCTGTAGCCCACATTTCCAAGCAAGTCGGCAGAACGTACACACTACTGCGCAAAACTCGGATTTTTCACGTTTTTTGTTTTATGTTTGGTGAATGTTGCATCATAATTTTGCCTGTTGAAGACAAAATCTTTTCCGACACAACATTTGAAAACTACAGACGGAATGTCGTCCTTAAATACGACCTCAAATTCTAAACATTCTGTTGAAATGCTAAATGCACAACTTTACAGGGTTCTCACAGGAGCAGTATGTTCTGGCAAAATGCTACATTTCCCCACCCTTTAAACCAGATTTTGGGAGGTAAACAACAATTAACAGACCTTCAGATTTCTGCATCTTTTCTCTAAGGCCACACCTATTTAATTTCTTGGTTAACGGATTCGCCGCTTCATTTTTTTCTTATTTGCAAATAAAAATAAAAATTCAGAATCAACTGCAAAATGCTCATATTTTTCCGTGAACAGTTGAAAACAGTTCTTTTCATACTTCTTGTTAAAGTTATTCCATCTTTCAATGCAGTGGTATCATTAAAAGTTCAAAATTCATTGTCAAAATTTTGAACCAGCCTGGTGTGTTGACTTCATGGCTCCTATCGTACCATTTTGGGCCATAATAGGAAGCCTAGGCCTGTTTTTATTTTTATTTTTTTTTCGCCCGCCTGCTCCATTATTTTTGTAGAAAAATCCGTTAACCAAGAAATTAAATTGGTGTGGCCTTAAGTCAAGAGAACCATTTGTCATGTGGGGTCACATAGCATTGTGACTTCTCAATGTTGTGTTTTCCAGCAAGACATTCAAATGTGTCAAATAATTGGAGTCTCAGATTATTTACATTTGGAATAAATCAGTTCTATTTACATGAAAGTGTCTGTCTTCTGCCACAGATTCTAGATTTAGGTCACCTGTCCAACATGAAGCCTCTAATGTCTACTCAAACAGATGGAAAGACACATCCATCACCTAACCTGTGACCCTCGGACTGCTGGAAAATATTTCAGACACTGCCTAGCCAGGAAAGTGACCAGTAAACAGCTGCTGCAACCTTCACACACGTTAGCCTGGGTACCATCCTTTTTCAGTCCGCGTCCGCTCCCACAGTCCAACTGACTAACCAGTAGTGGTATATGTTGTGACTGTGGGAGCAGATAAAACTAACCGGGATGGTACCCAGGCTACACAAAGGTAGGGGCCTGGAATCAAATCTGCTGTCCTTCAGTAAAAACAGAAATCTTTAATCAATACACAGAGGACTGCTGGACCAAAGTGTTTATTCTTCAAGATGCCTCTGTGATAAGGAGCTCTGTATTTCCCTGGTTTGATAGTCACCTGTTAAACCTCAAGTTTTGTTACAAGGTTTGGAAATCGGTCACAAAAGACTCCCTGCACTACGTACTGCGTACTCAATCCTCGAATGACCATGAACCAGATTGAAAGCGGACACATGAGGGCTTTTATATGGACCTTGTGATGGGAAAATATCATAACTGCAGTTGGGGCTCAATTGGATATTACAGCCTGAATGTACGTATATAGCCATAACATCCAGCAAGTACTTTGGGCAAATGCATTAAAGCAGACAGGCCTGGACCAAATTGATTATAACTCAAGGCTCCCCTATCCAACTGCATGTACATTTATTGGTTATTGGATAGTTCAGCCTGCATCCTATCTGTCTATGTTTGCCACTGGGAGATGCCAGACCTTGGACCAGAATGTTGGTTTAACTGCCTGTCAGATATGAAAAATAACTTTTATCATCTTTGATGCATCAATGATGAGAAATTGTCTTGTTCACGACAAATGGGCTTTCTGCAGCACTGAGCAACTTCGAAAACAGGGCTAGCAAGAAAATTCTCCAACTCCCATGTTCCCTTAAGATATACAAGTTTAATTCCATTAGCGTTGTGTGAGCAATACTCAACAAATTACTCCATTTCAAGTACATGAGGCAGATAGACAAAGAACTGGTAACACCTCACCACATTTCAGTTAATAGAAGAGTGTAGCTACAGACCATCTGTCTCTGTCTCTCTCTATATAACACTGACATGCAGCATGTGCAGATTATCAGGGATGTGTTTGTGTCGAACCTAGGCAAACAAACAGGCGTGATCCTGGGCCAAATACACCATGAATCATACTCCAGTAGGCAGGGATCCTGATCCAACCCACAGGCAATTAAAATTCCAGACCCTTTTCCAAGATGTTTCTGTTGGACTTGGAGTTGGAGCTCACATATTTCATAGGATTTCATTGTGAAAGATTATTTGGGAGGAAAAAATAGTGGGCAAGGAGGTACTTGATCGTGCATTTCAGTATCCTGAGTCTTTCCAGCATGTTGGAAGAATGGACTGCACCTGTGCGAAACTCAGATTTTTCATGGTTTTCGTTGGATGTCAGAATTTTGCAGTCACATCATCATCATCGGGTTGGGCGACAAAACATTTCAAAATTATACACGGAATGGGAATGTCAACCTTGAATATGTAAATATGACGTCCTGCTGAAGTGCTATGCACAAAACATGATGAGTTTTGCACTGTACATTCTGCTGACATGCTAGTCTGACCACATCAACAGTAGCCAAAGAAGACATCAAATCAAGCAGGATTGACAAAAAAATAATCCTTTCCTTCCAAACAGCTAACAGCTTCTCTTCCCTTCCCTGACCCCAAAAAATTAATAAACACCTAAAACGTTCCAGGTGCATGCAAACTGTCAGATGCAGTGGGTCGTACATGCCAGTCCTAATGAGGGGGGCAGACATCTTGTCCCTGCCTCCCTCCAAGGTCATGACCTCCGTGGGCTGTCTACCATAACAACCCTTAGAACCAGGGCAGCAGCTAATTGATGCGGGTACTGATTACTACTGAACCAATGTCGGCATCACTATTGGTGAACAATACATTGTAGCTAGTATGAGTAGAGTGGAATCATTCCTCAGCTAATAGAAGATGCTACAGCAAGGATCCGTGTGTTGAATAACCTTACACAGTATGATAAGGCATCAGTTAGACAGAATTACTCCACTCCTTACTCATACTACAATATATTGCAGCTAGGTTACTATACACTTGACAAGGCAAATCCAATATCTCCACTATAAAAGTCGTCTTAAGGCTGTCATCAATGATATCAAATTTGCATATAGGAGTAGTGAGTGATATAGCTTGTTATGAATTTTTCAGCCACAACAAGAAGTTGTAAGGTCTATATCTATCAAAACGTACACAGGGAAAGACACTTTCCTAAGTGTTGCCAATACAGGACTGTGTAACCACTGCTACAAATAATTAAGCAGTGTTTATGTGAGACTGTTGACAGTTGGCACCTAGGCCGGGCATTTTACACAAACTGCTCTGGAGAGCGGACAAGGATTGCAGTGAACTAGATGAAGAGAGCAACCTTTGATGAACATCAAGCAAGCCATTGTTGCCAGTGCCTACAACAGGTAGCCTTGGTGCCATCTGTTTTGCAACAGAGTGCCAGTAGCACCGTTCAAAACGGATGGCACCCAGGCCATATACGACAGAGGCAAGAAGGAGTAGATTTTATATTAGTTTGGAAGCTGGGGTAGGTATTATTCGGGCTTTTACTAAGAATAGGCCATAGCAGTGAGTTGGGAGGGTCAGAGGTTTTGCAGGCATGGCGTTGCTGTATTTGTGGATCCCCTGACAAAATTTAAAAAAAAACTATCCAAATCATCGCAGCAAACCTGACCTGAAGAAGTGAAATCATAAGGCGAAGAAAGACTTACTTCTTCCGTCCAGCCTGACGTTGAAGGTGTCTGTTCCCAGGCTGTTGGTGACCTGGCAGCGGTAGGTGCTGTAGTCCTGGCTGGCCGACACGTTGTGGATGATGAGGATGCCCTCCCGCTGGTACCAGCTCTTCATGCGCACCGTGCTCTGCAGCCGGTTCCCGCTGGTGTTCAACAACTCGCTGCCCTGGAAACAGTCAGTTTGGAACAATCGATGAGCAACTTCAGTCTAAAACCAGACAATCTACGAAGTTTGTCCTCCTAACTAACTTCTGGTTGTCAGGTGATAAGGTGGTCTTGTGGTTAGGGTTGTTGACGCAGAATCTAAAGGTACCTGGTTCGAATCCATGGCAGGCCCCAGTGTTGTGCCATTGGGAAAGGGAGCTTTACACCTACCATACTTTCTCACTTGACTCAGGTAAAAATGTTTTGACTCGGGTGAAAATCTTGAAACGGTGATAGTCAACCTGTTATGTCATTCCTTTCGCAAATGTAGTAAATCTACCTTTTCATACATCAAGCCAACAAATGTAGTATATCTTAATAAATAAATAAATGCTACTTTGACATGCTGAAGGTTTAACAGCAATGACAACAGCATCTTGGTATCCTCCCACCTTGAACCATGAGAACTGCACGTCAGGAAAGCCCTCAGCCTTGCAGACCAGGTTAGCCGTGTCACCCTCCCCAGCTGCCACTCTGGACAGGAGGGGGGACTTGTCCAGCTCGGGAGCAACTGGGGGGCAAAAAGGTAAAATGTTTGTTTCAGACAAAAATATAGTTATCAATTCATTCAATTATCCCTTCAATATCATCTACTGCTGTGATCCACTGCTCACTGAGTCACGTGTGTCATCTACATAACTTGCATGACATCATCACAGAAGCAGTGGATTGTTTATTCTTTGACAAAGACTGGAGTTATCATGAAAGTTCATCTGTGTTGGTAGTTACATGTTTAAAGTTCAAACTTTTATTCCAACACAAGGGACTTTTTTCACTCTGATCTTCAATAGACTTCTCTTACAGTTGGAAATTTTCTTGTGTCAGAAATCACAGTTTCAATGTGCTTCATAACATAATATAGCCCCACTCACATCTGACGAGCAGCCGTGAGGTCTGCACAGCGGCGGGAGGGATGCCGTTGTTGGCCACACACTTGTAGTCGCCCTTGTCGTCCTTCGTGATGTCGTTGATGCTGAGGGTGGCGGTGAGGTCGCTGTACGATCGGATGAGCCGGGACGCGTTGGCCCCCTCCCGCGCCCAGGTGACGAAGTTGGTGGGTGTGGGGTTGCCCACCCCGGTGCAGAAGAACTGCGCGGACCCGCCGATGTCCACGATTCTGTGGTCCGTGATGTCTGCAATCTCTGCAGGGTCTGGGGGGAACAACACATTTGGTGTTTTCTTTATACAGATTCAGACTCACTGGTGTTTTAGTACATATAAGTGTATAGTACATTTGTATTTTAGTGTTTCAGCATTTAGTATTTTGCATACATTAATTGGTCTATTAAACCATGTGTGGTCATTTAAATTTGTGCATTTAGCCCTTTGGGCACAATGAACAATTTATTATGAGTGTATCATACTATAGAGATGCAAAACCTACTAAATTAAAAAAATGCATTTAGATTCATATAATTCTGTTGCCTCCACAAACATTATGAGCACTTTATGAGAAGGTAATGATCACCGCAACATTGGTTGTAAAAGACACTGGTGATTGAATAAAGAACCTTTTTTTCCCAGTCTCTTGCACACCTGTTGAAAGTAATCACGGAGAAAACAAAACTTTTTGTTGGAAACTAAGTTTTCCCAACATCTTGTCAATGGTACTTACATTGTACATTCAGGAAGAGGGTTCTGTCCGTGGAGCCCAGATCATTAGAAGCCTGGCAGACGTAATTCCCTCTGTCGTTGCGGGTGACGTTCTTGATGATGAGAGCTCCTCCAACGATGATGTAGCGAGAACCGTCGGCCTGCCTCCGCTGTCTTACCCCAGTCAACTCCACACCATCCCTAAACCACCTGTGGTAAGAAGGTGATGTTTTCAGTAGCATTTGCCGTTTGCTTGTTTGCCTGTTGTGAACAGCATAACTCAAGAAGCTTTATAGGCATTGTCATGAAACTTGGTAGTTGGGTAGGTCATGATTTGATTTTGGGCCCCTTGGTGACTTTCGTTGGTACTGCAGCAGAACATCCTGGTTTTGATATCTTATGTTATGATCTGGACATGCTATTCTGGTCATGAATTTGGTAGCTCTTGGGTTTGGGAAGAAGTGACATGAGTTTGGACCACCTAGCAGTTTGATCTGGAACTACAGGGCAGTTTGCTTAAAATTGCTTAGTCAACTCCATGCCATTCCTAAACCACCTGCCGCAAACCAAGAGAAGGGAAGAATGTTACATCTCAACTTCACTTACGAGTTCTTCATTTGACAGGAGTGGCCGGGGGGGATCAAAACTTTACTTTGTCCAAATAAATGTTGTTCCGTTTGGGATTTCGCCCAATAAGCATTCCGGCGGGAGACAAGACAATCTGTTATGTGAGCCGCAAGAATCCGCACAAGTATGGCATCTGTCAGCTCTTGGACGCCTTCCAAAGTCATTATTGCCAACTTGAACATTTGGTCCAATCTAATTTGCTCGAGGTATTTTTGCTTATCTTTAGAAGCACCAATTTCGACCTCGTAATCAGGGGCCCATGACTGTTTCCAGGGAAACCACCCTCAACAAGAGCTTGGGAGCTCGGCAATCACAGTAATTTCATCCCACGATAACTATGGGGTGCGTCTGTTGGTGCAGTGGAGGTTTTACCAGGGCTGAAAGCACTATTATCAAGAGAGGATGATTTCACTTAAATGTGCAAGGTCATAAGTACACATTTGTGGAGTTTTTGAATAATTGAGGGATAGACCATATATGGTGGCATTTTGATAATGGAACCAAAAATCTTCCCCAAAATTTGTTAAATGCCTGAAATAAAAAGATCAATATTCTTAATTTTCTTTTCCAATTCTGATGATACCCTTTGATGCATCATTCATTTTCTTGCTTGGTGCATGCAGATCATACCAAGTGCCATGTCTCCTGGGTAACTTGTTGGGACCTACCATTCCCATAGGGGGTTAGCCTTCTGGAAAAATCAAGGTTAACTGATTTTTTTTCTAGCAAAACTGCTAACACTCCTGATCAGCCTTCCATACCACAGATGAGGGAATTCTGTCAATAGAATGTCATGCTCTGAAAAGTTTTCCGACCCTCATCAAATCCCAACCCTTAGAGGCACCTGCTGGGCAATTAAATAATGACTGCTATCAAAAATCAATTAATATTTAACAGCAGATGGAAAATCTGATGAAGCCTACTGCTATTTAATTGCTTGACTGCATGTGGAGTCCATTCATCTCTCATGTTCATAACCATATGGAGGTGTTTTAACATCACTCTAAGAACACTACACTTCTCTTTTGTTTGACAGTGGTGCTAAAAATCCTTTTTTTTTCTGTATACTTACACTGATGCGGGTAATAATGAAAATTCCCTGCACCAGACAAATTTTACCTGAACTACTCAGAATTTAGCAAGTACGTATTGTACTAAAAACTGTGCAGGTTAGGTGCAGGTAGACACCAGAAATGCAATACCTGCACAGCTCCAGTTCTACCTGCACTAACCTGCATATGCAGGAGGTACATGTACATGTATTTCAAACGCTGGCCATGGACACTTGTAAAGGAAGTGCAATCTTAAAATACAACCACGGCACTGCCTCTAATTCTAAAAGTCGACATCAGAAAATCCCAAGGCCTCTTTTTGAACTACAAGCTGTCTTACTTCTGCTCCGTCAACAAGAAGTGTTCTGAGAAGTGTGAAGAGTTGTGGCAGCCTCTGTCACCCCGGGGAAATTACTTCCCATCAGCAAGCATACAGGTTGAAGTTACAGATTTCCCCGCTGATGCACGTTTTCATTGGTTTATGTACAATCTTTAGACATGTCTCCCCGCAAGATCTAAAACGCTTTCCTTCAAAGTGTTCCACGTCAAATTGCGCTGCAGTAAATACATTCACCTCCGAAGGGTAAAGGTGATCTGAAAGGCCAATGCTAAGTAAAAGGCCAAGAAACATGTAACACCTTGCATGTGCAAGTTAATGCAGGTGAAGTTGGAGCTGTGCAGGTATTCTGATGTCTACCTGCATCTTACCTTCACTGGTCCATGTACTGGGTTTACATAGGGATGTGGATTTTATTTGCGTATTGCCTGCTATGACATACAGTTTGATGATGTTTAAATAAATAATATCAATGGTTTTTGGGTAGTTTTCAGTATGATCCATACTTCCTAAATTCTGAGTGCTGCAGGTAAAATTTGTCTGGTGCAGGTAATTTTCGATGTTACCTGCATGGGTATGCAAGTATGTAGAGGAAAGTATTTCGAGCCCTGAAGACAGTTGCCATGCACTCACCTGTAGTCCACTGTAGCAGGGTTTGCCGAGGCAGTTGAGTTGATGACTGCATCCTTTCCTTCTGTGGCATTTACAATCGGGGTTGACTCACTGACTGGGAACTCTGGGGCAACTGTGGGAGGAGAAAAACATTCATGATTTAGCTTTGCAGGGGGCATCTTTTCTGCCTGCTGGAATCATCTAAAGCCCCTGTCACACATTCAGAACCTTCCCCTGACCACCATCCAACCAAGTTAAGCTGAAAATCGGGAGCAGTAAGAACAGACTTCAACCACACCCACCTTTCTATATACATCAAATCAATTTTGAGTTACATTTCAGTCAAATTTGATCCCCGAACACACCCTAAACACTGCTGACATACTTCCTAACATCAGCTAATCACTAGCCATGTTTGGGAATAGTTCAGCAGTGTTCAGGAGGCCATATTCAGGTAATAAAAGCTACAAACACTCTCTACTGTGACAACATCTACCTGCATAATTAGCTGTCTATTTCAATCAGGTTTTGACACCTGTTTTATGTCTCATACGGCACACTGATATCTGTATATGCCACACTTCAGTATGAAGCTAAATATTTGTTCTGAAGGTTTGATGATACTTGTAACTTTGCACTTCCAAGAAGCTACCAGCTACGTGCAGCTGTTGAAGTGTGTTGTTGTTGGAATCTTGATAATATTTGTGTTAACAGCCATAATGGTTGCTACATACCACAGTGGCACATAATAAAAAGTTAGGGTAATCAAACTTTGATCGCCTGGGGAAAAAAATCCATGTGAGCAGTAAATTGTAAGCACCATTTGGTACACAACTCCAGATGGTGACCAGTTCAGGTTATAGCCACTTAGGTCATTATACCAACTGCTAACTCCATTGCTCACTGGAACTGTTGAAAGGGCCAGCACTCCAAGATTGAATGATGAATAGGAGGACAGTTTGAAACTGTTGGGTGTAACTACCACTGAAGGCAACTCTAACCCAGTAAGAAGCAGGAGTCAGACAGGTGTGGCTGTTGAGTAACAGCCCGCAATTTGATATGACATACCGTATCATTCAATCAGTGTCTGCATATCAGCACAAATGCAGTTTATCATGTCCATCTAACAAAGAGATGAAATAGTCCTGAATAGGTAGACAATTTGAAACTGTTGATTGTACTTGCCAATCAAAACTAACAGAGTAACCAGCAGTAACCAGACAGGTGAGTGATAGCCTGCAATGTGATATGACATACTGCACCAATCAGTGTCAAAACGTCAGCACAAATTCAGTTTATCATTCCATCTAACAAAGAGATAAAATAAGTCCTGACACCAGTGGGTTGACAATCTGCCCTTTCTGAGACCCCAGCCCTCCCCCTCCCCCCTGGGGGGTACAGCCTACAGCGCTGAAAGCCAAGGTCAATCCATCTGTTCCTGCCACCTGTACTGACACCCTTCATGGTCAGGGGTCACTTCCTGCTGCCAACATGCCAAATCCCTGTCCCCTGCATGCAATTAAAACAACATGTGAACCAACAAGTCCTTTCAATAGGATGGGGTGATTCTGTACTTGATCTTGATTATGTACCCCGTATATGAACTTTAACTTGAATCTGAACGTACTGAACTTGATTTTGTACACCATATGATGATGTCTCATATAGCAGTCCCAGTCACATAATTTATAAGCTAAATCGTTTCCTTTTCTGAGGACTACTTGTGGCTTAGAATTCCCTACAGAACTACAACCGAGACCACAAAGTTCTGGTTACTGCATAATTCAGCAGCTGGGAGAGGCTTTGGCAAACAGGGTTAAAAGACATAAATCCCCTGTAAAATTTCTTAGGAGCAATTTGAATGATTCTTTTTTTAAAGCATCATGACCACTTCAAGAGCCTACAAGAAAAACATTGGTACAAGTGTTTCCTTTTCCTCTCCTTACAGAAATTCCTGCACTACTCTGACTCACCACAGAACCATTCAGAGCACCCTTTAAAGCTGGGTTGGGTGGAGAGCGGCTTCCTGTATCACAGTCTGGATAGAGACTCTCTGTTAACAAACGAGGGCCCTAATTGTGCCACTGTTTCCTGATAGCTTGAGGCCAAGTCCAAGGGTCAGCTTGCCTGATGACAACTAACATAAACTGAACATTCTCAGAGCAACATAGACTGATTAAGTTTGACTGTGCATCACTAGCAGTTCCAACTAGAACAGCAATGGCTCGACCCACGAGAGAGTGACCGTCAAATGCCCGTCAAATTGTTGCATTTTATTTTGCATTCCTATGTTTTGACAGAGGTGGGTGTGGCTATGGGATCAGTCTATTGACGGACACAACCAATAGTGCATGAAATACAGGACAGTTCTACAGAGGTAGATACATGTAGAAGTCCAGTTGCTTTTTTGGGGCCATGGGGGCAGTAGGTTGAAGATGTCGTGTCTGCTAGCCTAACCACTTGGAAAATTGACCCCACTTCTAGTAATTCTGGAGAAAAAAACTCACAGTTCACGTCGAGCGTGATGGCGTCGTTCACGCTCTCCGACAGCAGCTGGTTGGTTGCGCGGCAGGAGAACACGGTGCCGTCCTCGCCAGATGTCAGCTGGATGGTCAGCGCATTGGTCGTGCTGAACCCGCCGTTCTCGGCCGGAACCCTGCCCTCCACCGTCCCCGACTGGACCTGTGTTTAAAAAAAAAAAGGTTCCGTTCCACTCTATTGCAGAGCATAGGGGTGGTGCCCATATCCATGTCTGTAGCCCTTGCGCCACACAGTTATGCAATCACTACAGCAGGGGGCTAGCCCACTGGTAGTATTGTGTGTTTGACCTTCCCATACTCCTTCTCATAGATGCTGAGTGCTAAGTAGTAAAAGCAGTACCGGTATGTACCATTCTTTGGTATGACCCAGCGGCAATTGCACCAGTATAACATTATTATGTTAACCGAAGGAAAACATATTGTTTTTGCTCAGTCTCTTCTTCCTCTTCTACAAACAAATAAGGTCAATGACCTGAACAAGACGTCTGTCACCATGGTAACTGGTATTGGGTTACGTCATGTTGCAATTTTATAGCAGGAGGGATTTAGACTCCTGTCCAACTATAGATATGTATGTGTTTGAGAAAGAATTAACAGTGCGGACTATATGAGAAGGTAAACATTATGCATTTGCTTTGCAAATGATACCTTTCTAGTTTCTTTGATTATATGCCAATAAACAAACAAACAAACCTTCCCGTCCCGGTACCACGTGACGACGGAGGCGGGGTTGCTGCTGGAGGATGTACAGGACAGCGTGCCCTGCTCGCCAGCCTTCAGGACTGGGGGGTTGGTGGTGATGGTCACCCTCTCTGGAGGAACTGTCAAACAAATACAGCAATAATTTTTTATGAATATCCATAACAAAACACACAACAAAAAGTTAGCTACTCTGTTGAGCTTTCGAGGCGCACTGCTCTGTCTCTTCTTCAACCCGGTAAAGATCTCATACTGGAGTTCTCTTGTCACATGACTTGATGTGATTATCACGTGACAAGAGACAGTAATATACAGGCTTCAGGTACTGCAATAATATCAAAGCGATGTTGTGGTGTTTATTTATATTTTTCTGTGTTTATTTACCAGGGTGGCTCTCTTCAGAGAGGCCCTGGGTACATATACATGTATACAAACAATGAAACAATACATACAAGACAAACAAGTCTTTGAATCAAAAATTGATTGATCCTCATTTTCAAACTTTGAATTGATTTACATTGTATATAGAGAGAGTCAGGAAAGTAAGCTAAAATTCAATATGACTACAATTTACAAAGGAAAAGCATTAGAAGTTATGCATGAAAAATTAAATTCTAGACAGTCCACATTTGAATGGAGTGTCTTTCACTTCTCAGTCAAGGTTATGCACCAAATTCAGCAAAGCCTCTTTCCACAATTATTCACAGCAGGGTTCTCACCAGGATTTTTTCAGAGCGTAGGGGTCGGGTACAGAAGGGCAACTTTCTGCAGCGCAAGTCGCGAATTGAGGCCTCAAAATATGACCACAGCAGGGGTCTGATATTCTCCCTACAAAATCTTGTAACTCATAACCCCCTGAGACACTGTTTCTTGCTTATTTGGGGACAGTTTTTGTTTTCCTTTTGTTATAGCTTATTTCTAAAGTTATATTTTCATTTTTTGAAAGATTTATGAAGCTTCTGCCCCCAAAATACACCCCTACACTGGTTGAAACACAGTGTAGGGGGCTAAATCACAGCGTAGGGGGTCCAAATCACAGCGTAGGGGGCCCCTACACTCAAACAGCCTAGTGAGAACTATGCACAGGTCATCCCTTATCCCGTATGGATCCTGAGCCAAGGCCAAAAGCGGTTGGTTTTATGGATGAGGCAATCTTCTGCCCAGATGCAAAGTAGTATAGATAACCGAATTTGTGCTGTGGGCCAGTAAACTGATAGATGCGCAGTCTCGGCTTGGGATCCATCAATACACTTACAGGCTGTGAAACAAATTTGATTTATGAGGTGTCTATCAGAGGGCTGCTAGTATGTGGGTCTGTACCTAACCCAATTCCAATGCAACACGAAAGGAAGGGAGAAGCAACGACACCATACCAAACAGCCATACATGCTCTCCATACATACATGTACATCACCTGCCACACCCTAGGAAGATAGACAATCTGCATGAGCGTGTAAAAAATGTCCTCCCAATTAATTAGGCACTGCAGGGGAGGTAATTATGTGATGATGATGGCATTTTAAGAAACACGCTACTGATAATTATACCGCATGCACCATACTGCTAGCCACATTAGATTAGTGCTCACCCAGACCTTTCCAGTGTTCTGGCCTTTTATTCCGACAAGACCACAGGGACATGTATGCAGGAATCTATTTCCCCACTTAAAGACTTTGCATGTTGTTGATTTTTTACAGCCCATTTCATTGACAGTTAAGGGGCACCCTGTATCGATCCGCCCGGACGTCCTCAGATGCATGAGACCATTAATAAACCCTGATGTCCCTCTGAACGTCTTAATGATTTTCTAGCACGATATAAATGGGCTCGGTAGAGCAATCAGTCGATCTTACAATTACTCACAGGACTATGAATAAGAGAGTGGTGCTAATTGCCGATGGTTTAGTGTTATTTAGTTCGGTAATAGCGCCGCGATGATGCCATCTTTCCACACAGGAGAGATGGACCTGATTTACACAGAGGCAAAAACCTGACGGCCAAAAATTGCATATGCATGCGAGTGTGCGAAAATTGAATACTCATGCGAACGTACACTGAGCATCATCAGTTTTTGCCTGCAGGTGCTAAAAGTACATGTATGTTACCACGGATTCATGTCTACCCACCAAACTATCTGTACATGAGCAATCATGCATACCAGGAAATGCATTGCTTTAAGTCAATGAAAACGATGGTACATGCTATGGGTAGCACTACCTAGTAATGGTATGCAAGCATGTTTCCTCTGCAACAAACCACAACAAAATTGTTACCGTTATGTTGTGAACTAAAAAGTGAAATCAGCTGCCAGGCCATATTTTGTACAGGCACCCAACAGTAAAGGTCTTCAGGGTTGAGCTGGCAGCTGCCCTATCAAAACCTCATCCCACTCTGCAATATCCCATTTAACGAAGAGGAAGTGAACAAAGCTAAAATTTTCCACTTTTGTGATCATAACTGAAATACTCTGACATCAAATAATGGTGGAAAATTATGCAAATGTGGTTCACAAAAACCTCCTGATGTTCGCCAAGGGTCAGTTGTTTCGTGACACGGGGCAGCCTGGGGGCCAGGTTTAATTGGCCCAGACACTACCTGTTGAAGTTTCTGAGCGTTAACGAGCCTTTTCGCTTTGAAATCACATGTGCATCTTGTAATAGTGATGCTTTGGTAACCTTTTTGATTGGTGAACCTGAACGCACGACAATAAAGCAAGGGTCAACATTTACATTTCCCTGGGGTTGGATAAAAGACAATCAGGACATGGCAATGTGCAGTTCTGTCTCTCTGTATCAGTGTAGCGTACTTCAATTACTTTGTCCACATGCTCACTAAACAGAATTGTGGCAGTCTTTCTTAGTTTACATGAGCCCTACCTGCCTTAAGTTGAAACTTTACTGTGATGTTATACATTGTAGCTTTCGTGAGCTGTACATGTATGTATAATTACAGAACGTCAATATGAAATGCAATGTTATAATCATTCTGGAGGGTTTCAGGTGATGTTCATTTAACACATACAGTATATACAATTTTGTATTATTCTACAGATCAAAGTTGTTTGTCTTTTATGTATGTTACTCCTTTGTATCAGAAACAATGGTTGGGGCATCTCTCTTTCACTCACTGTTGCAACTGGTAGTTGTTAGTAGAACTGTGTGGCTGTTTACCAAACACTAATGTTGGACCAAATCATCCATTTAATAGCAGGAATATAATTCCCCATGCAGAATGGACATCTCATAAAAATCAATAGTTGACCCGTGTCAGCAGATTTCCATACTTTTGCAACCAAACAGCCACCATCAGCCAGGTTCAAACAAATAAAGATGACTAATAACACAGACCTTGTGTTTCAGAGAGAGAGAGAGATGGATGAAAGTGGCTATAAAACAACAACCGAAAGCGGCTCGAAATTGGCAGCGATTTCACAGACCCCGCCAGGTCATCAATCAATTGTTCTCGTGGCAAGAAAATCCATAAGAAGGGCAGCGGGGACGAAATTTCGCTATCAGATCTGACAGGCGACGGCAGCATCAGCATTCTGGTTACAGCTCGGCAGGTAAATCATCCGGGAAATTGTCCTTTTATGTATTCCATCACACCGCTCGGCTGTTGATTGACAAAGATTACGGAACCTCAACACAGAATAACAATAATGGCATAGGACACGGTCCATCTACCTCCGCTGGGGGAACGCCAATCTTTTGCTCTTTCAACTAAAGGGCTATTGTTCTGGCACAGTTCTTTTGCCTGTTCCTAGATATACTGTATACCTTTGGAAAGAAATATAGTATAAAAGAAATCAGATACAAATCTTAATGTATCTTTTAAAAAACAAAAGGGGTCATTAATGTTAGGAGTAATAAATGCATTCTATCGAAAATGCAGACTGTGAAAAATATGCTCCTTACTCTGTTTAATTTATTGATTGCCTTTTCCAGCATCATTTACCTAATAATATGTGCAATCAAGACTAATAAAAAGTCTTCCTGCTTTGCTCTACATTTCGTTCTAAAAAAAAAAATAGGCCAAACAGAATAAATCCCATTACTGGTCCTGAAATGACCTGCTTTTCCATGTGACGTTGTTGCCTGTATGTCTGTGAGAGACAGCAAAAAGCTCTCTGCAATTGGTCGTGTGGCTCTTCCTCTAATTATAGACAAAATGAATTGCCTTCCTTTTCCAGGGGTCGACCGTGCCCCATTTCCGTGGCATTCAAGGTCAAATCAATGTGGAACATTTGGCCGCCGTTAAGTGGCTCAGACGAGGAAGTGAATCAACCCGCGGAGTGCGGACTCGGGGTAAGTGCTCGCTCCAGTGGCCGCCGAGATGGGCGGACGGGACATCACCAGAATTACAAGGATCACTGGGCTGCACCAGATCTTACCTAGATGTAGTACGGAATGAAGTACGGTCAAACCTGCCCAAGAAGGCCACCCAGGGGACCGAGGTATGCGTGGACAGGTGGCTTTCTTGGGCAGGTTGATTGTGCTTGCACCTATGGAAAAAATTCTGTGACTGGAAACGATGTTTACTGATGTTTAAACGATGGTTCAGGTGGTCGCTTGGGCAGGTTTGACTATACCTGCTGCCAGATTTCAATACTGTACCTCAAATATTGAAATGATTTAATGAAATTCCACATGTCTAGCATATTTCGGAAGTCCCCATCTTTCTTGAGGCTACTTCACAAATTCTGTTTCTTGCAGTTATTGGTTAGAAGCTGCCTGTCCTGCCATCTCATCCAGAAAGAAATTGGTTTTCTGTGAACCTTTTTGTATCAAAACAGGGAAACAAAGAAGAAACTATAAAGCACAGTTGCCCATCCCAGTGCCATGACTGCTAGTATCATATTGAATTTCAACCTGGATAAGGGACCAACTGGCCCTTAAGTGGAACAAGAGGATGTCACCTAATGATTGACAGGGTCAAACCCTAGCTTGACCTCCGGGGAAAATCATTTAGGTCAAGTGTCCATTTCAAGCTTGGCTCTGTCAAATCCCTCAATATGGCTGTGCTTTCAATGGACTGATGCAGGAAGACACTAATTGAGGCCTCTGCATCTATTTTATGTAGAGATGGAAATATTTTACTTTTGGGGAGGCATCTTTAGCAGTGACACCTGTGCTGTGCGACATGAACCAGTCCGAATTGCCCTGAGGAAGGTGACAGACGGTCGACCGGTCATGGAAATGTCGGCTGAATAAAACACTTGGTTGTGTAAAAAGAGTCTCTTTTATTCAGTGACTTACCATCCTGATGTAACTATTCACGGATGCATCTATTTTAGTAAACAGGGAGTCAGTGGACAAGTTCCCATGCCATGGTTCTCCAAGGAAAAGCTAGTTAGGAGCCGGCTAATTACTAAATATAGCTCGTACGTCTTACTGGGACTTTGGGAGGGTACAATTTCGTAGGTCGTTACATTTTTTCCATCCTTGACCTTATCCCTGATGACGTACGACATAATCAAGCCAATGCCGAGATGGGCCAACAAGAGGTAAAGGCTGCTGATGCCAAGAACAGTCAATTCGTCATCCTAAAACAACTGAAGGAATTTGAAGGACGTCAGAGGTGTAGAGCTAAGGGTACACCTTTACTCCTCCCTGAACTTTCAAATGGATATTTTTAAGTGTGAAAAAACAATGGGTTTGGAGTTGCAGTCTCTTGTGGCGTGATATCAACCATCTACTGTAAATCACGATTTTTTCGTGGTACTTTTATATTCACTGTTTCAGTGGTCACTTCTGAACCGCAAACTTATCATTACTGTGAACAAATAATAATAATAATTCACCAACTCTCTGTTTGCTGCACCTCTAATAATTATAACATAAAGTGTTCCAAAAACATTTTTCTCAGATCGCAAAGTTTTGCAACCACGAATATAAAAATTGATTTACAGTATTTTGGTTAAAAATTCGAGACAACAGCACCTGTGATGATAGGTGGGCGGGAGGTGATGGAAAGCCTGCTTATCTCTGTGTGCACAATGGGCATATTTATGCCTCCTGTTACAACTGTGTCAGCCCTGCAGCCACGATCTCCCGTCCAGGACCCTTCTGCACTTCCTGTCACGCAACCCACACATCTCTTCATTCCACAGGCTCACAGGAGAGGTGCCAGGACAGGTGGTCTAATACTTATACATCCATCCTTCCTGCCAAAGCTCTGGTCACGTTTCTGACACATTGTCTGCCCCCAAAACACACACCACAAGTGAGTAATCTTTTATTTCCAAAGAATGGGAGATATTTCGAGGGATTATCCTTCCATGAATCCTCTCAGTCATGCTCATGCCAGCCCTTGATTCCAGAAATTCCTCCTCGTATCTTGCCACAAAAAAAGGTTGCAGATTCTATTAACAATTTCTTTATCATAAGCCAACCCGCCTTAACTGGATTTTCACCGTAATGCTCCACATTCTCTTTCTTTCCACACAAACACATTCCATCCACGCAGCAATGCTTTCACTGACCCACAAATTCTACCACATTTTATGTAAGGCTAAACAGATTAAAACATCTGATGTGTTGTGCAATATACAAACTCAATCATAGTTAATGGCCTGTGACACATGCCAGTCCATCTCAAAGTAACAAGGGAAATCTACATCTGTAATGTAAACTTAGGGTTCAAGGGAAACTGTTTCTAAATCCAGGGCTTGAAATTCTTTTTTCCTGAATAGCTATGCAAATTTACCTGCACCACTCATATGTGAACCAGTGCAAGTAACGTGCAGGTAGACATCAGAAATACCTGCACAGCTCCAATCTCACCTGCACTACAATTTTATCTGCACTAATATATAAGCCCTGTACATGGACCAGTGCAGGTAGACATACCTCCAATTTTACCTGCACTAGGGTGCATATGTAGGTGGTAAAATTTATGCATACATTATCATCTACCTTAACACCTGGCGAAGAATTTTTCAAGAAGATCTGAAAAGAGCAAACATAACTCGGGAAGATGCTGAGGAAGCAGATGGAAACTTGCTGCCCAATGTGCCTGTAGGCACAGGAGGACCTAAGGTAAGTATTATCTATTACTCACATTGTACAGTGAGGACCTTGGTTGCGCTGAGCGGCTGTGAGGTGGCAGGGTTGCTGGCGTTGCAGCTGTACACGGCGTTGTTGTCGCTGGCCTCTGCGATGATGGACAGCTCGCTGGAGGCGATGTTCCCGCTGATGGAGTACGTGATGGAGTTGGAGTCCGCGCTCAGGACCTGAACGAACGAATGAATGCATGGTTTATTTAATGAATGAATGAACGAAGACCTTTATTGTACATTTTTGCCCCACTGGGCTAAGCACAGGTAGCCTGGGTGCCATCCTCCATAGCTTCTGCTGGCTCCCTAATGTCACTGGCTACCGTGCAAACTACAGAGGATGGCACCCAGGCTAAACCACAGGTCACATAATTACAATCATATACATATAATATACTTACATATAGCTGTTACATGTATATATAAATGTCTGAAGTATTAAGAGTCTTTTTGACTTCTTCTCGTTTCTTAGTAATTGTATAAATGTATGAGGCTGTATGATTAACTTAGAGTTGGTTCATCAAAATACAATGTATGGCTGAATTGCAAGTTTCATAAAGACTTGGCTGAATGGGTCTGAATTTGTTAAGAGTTTCTGGTGGTCATGCTGTTGCCATTATCACTGACCTGTCCGTTCTTCAGCCACACCAGGCTGGCCTCAGGGTTTCCTCCAGCTGCGATGCAGGTCATGCGCTGCAGGCGCCCCGCTCGCACGATCGTGCCCTCCTCGTATCCGGAGATGTACGGCTCGTCCGGGGGATCTGGGGAAGGAAGAACAGGTGTGGTTGAGAAAATTGCTCAAGACAAACAAGTAGGAATATAGAAGTCATCACTTGTGTCATGACTGATTGTAGACAAAGAGGTAAGGTTCGTCCGGGGAATCTGGGGGAACAAACAAGTAGGAATATAGAAGTCATCACTTGTGTCATGACTGATTGTAGACAAAGAGGTAAGGTTCGTCCGGGGAATCTGGGTTCGAAGGAAGAACAGGTGTGGTTGCGAAAACTGCTGGAGTCAGGACGAATTAGTAGGAGCATCTTAAACGTGTCATCACTTGTGTCATGACTGATTGTAGCCAAAGATATAGCTCATCTGGGGGAACTCAACAGAAGGACCGATCGTAGCCTAACTGCCAAGCCTCTTTCCTCCTCTCTGCAATTAGACAAAAGAGACTCGGCAGCTAAATTAAGTTTGGATAACAGGCTACCCTCCTCACTACATCATACTTCTTGTTTGAAGATGTTAGTTTGAATGTTAAACCTTTTGTTCAGATATACATGTACATGTAGTCACAAAAATGTAAGGACAGAAGTAACCATTTAATATTAGGGCACAATCACCCATGAATTAAGCATGATGGATGCAGGAATTCCATATCATGAACTATGCAGTGGGTAAGCAAGCCCCTGTGCTGTTGTCTAGTGTTATGTTGAGGTTGTGGTTCATCTGCTTACCATGTGGGGTTCTGATAAGATATGGTAACCCATGCAAAGGCCTTCCAGAGAATCAAATACTCTTTTAAATCATATTTATGTGTGCTGTCATTTCTGAATGAAAGATTCCTTAAAGATTCCTTACAAATCACTAGCCACCAAATCGAATGTTTTCTTAAGCAATGCATATATACATTGTAGTCCTTCTGTTGAAAATAACCTTCCTATCTCTTTTGCATATATAAGTCTATCCACAAGGCACCTTTGGCACCCGTATATCTATCCAGGGTACATAGATATCTAGTCGTAAATCAAGGGACATATCTACATGTGTGACTTGAGAATTCCACAAATTGTTTCCCTTGGACTAGAGCCAGTTGATGGAATGAAAGACATTTTGTCTATCACACATTCATCGAGGTTTCAAGGTTCAAAGTCAGGTGATACAAAAGGCAACTGTAGGCCCTTATCGCCCAGCAAGTGGCAGCTGTATGTATTATCAAATCAAGGCTCGGGTCCAACTTCAATAATCTTAAAGCCTAAAAGTGGAGCCACACGACATTTGTCTCAGGTGTCCCAAAACAATGTTCTTGGTTTATGTGACTTCCTTTCCGGATATTTTTTTTAGGCGCTGCGGATCTACCGCCCCTGATGAAGGTCATGGCTTGTGGGAACCAAAACCTCTGCAAACAGGAAAGGTAAAACCGAGCAGTAACTTCTTGGGTCCCAGCTGACATAACTGCAGCTGACTCTTTGCAAAAACAGTGATCAACCCTCAGCAAACATTGTCACTGAAGACACAGAAAGAGTCAAAATGATGGTTTTCTTGTGGTTTCCAGACTTCTTTCTGTATCCAGTATGATGCAATCAACTTGAATTGCTTCTATATTGGAGAAATGTTTTAAGTTTCATTTTCATTGTACCTAAATTGAGCACATGTGTATGTGATGTCATGTTATATAACTTGGACTGGAATATGTCAGGAAAGCAAGCAGCTGTATGTCATTTGTGCCAGATTGTTCCTGACACTGCCACATGTCTTCAGGCACCGACTGCACACCTTGGGTACCGAACCATTGTTCCCAATCAACATGCAAGTCATGGCAATGAACATGACAGACTGTTGTTGAAGACAAGGCCAGATGTTTTTATGTCCCTGTGATCACTCATTATTGACTACCTGATTGGTCTCATTGTTGTTTCCAGTCTTCCAAATGCCGAATGTCATGTCTGGCAAGCATTGACTGATGGTATTGTTCTTTCTACTCAAATGGAATAAATAAAGACTGACATGTCTGGCGCTGTAAATAGCATGCGTCAACAGCACAGCATGTTTGAGGTAGACTCCACCAGGCCTTTCTACGGGAATACGGATCATAAAATTCAGCAAAAAGAAGAGTAAAATTGGCCATGGAAGTCAGGCCGCGGAAGATTCTTTCTTTCAACTGTGCGGCCAAACTCCCCTGGCAAATATTCTCCTATATATAGTCTGGTACAGACTATGTTTGAGAGACATATCTGCTGCTTTGAAGCTGAGGTTCCCCCAGGATGTAATTTTGAGCAGTTTGGCTTGTCCCATGAGTTATCAGCAAACACACTGAATAAAAATGTTCCCGACAAGGCTATACATGTATATACATGTAGGTATCTTTTACTATCCTTTCTAGTCTGTAACTCTTGGTCCCATGAGTCAAACTGGCTTTTTCTGTCTCCACCCATAAAAAGCACAATCTTTTATGACTTGATGTGTATTTCTTGAACTTGAACAGTTTGAGACTTTACATTTATCCCAATGGATAGAACAACAAAATTGCCGCCGGTAGTTTGGGGAATGAATATTCCAGGGGATTTGTTCAAGATTCAGCCGGAACTAGTTGCAATATCCTTCTTGGAGCCATTACATAATCCCTCCATCCTTTTCTTGTCATGTAGAAAGGTGTTAGCAATTACCAGGGAGAATGGTCCTCCAGCAACTTTGTCAGTACTCATCCATTTTCCAATTAGAACAGAAAAAAGCCCAGGCGACGAGGATAACCATACAAATCTGGGAGAAGCTTAAGGTGACTGGAAAAAAATTCTCTCCAGGATGTAGACACAGCATCAATTACTGAGCAATGCTGGGGCCTATTAGGTGGGGAGTGATAAATTCTCCATCACTGTCTCATGAAATTACAATGACAGGGCTTGGGGAGGACGCCATCCCCAGTGGTCTATCTGTCTAGTCACCAGAGTTTAATTACAGCTTTGTCAGCAGATAGATAGGAGGGGTAGATAGCATGGATGGTAGGATGTTTGTTGAAAGTTTTCTTAGCTGCAATTCTCTTTTATATGATGCCCCCTAAGCATAAGCGGACGGATAAAGTAAGATATAAGTCTCTTTCGTGGTTTGCAAGACTGTTATTGGGCAAGTAACTTTCGTTGTAAGGCAGTGATCATTCAAGGCCTGACAATGATGGCTGCTGCTCAATATCATCCAGCTACCCTTAAAGTTCAAAGTGTTATGATGTATGAACTGGCTTTCTGCCATGTGAATGTGAGCAGAGTTTGAGGGAATGATGCAGCACAAAAGGTATTCACCAGTCTGCAAACATTGTAGATGACAGGTTACAGCTGGACATCCTTACCTGGTGCCTGTACTCATTTATGGTCTCATTCATGAGTTTTTTCGATACATTAGAAACCATGCATTAATGAGTGACTTACCAGACTGTGTTCCCTATGATCCTACATTAAATCAATTGATATCTTTCATGCTATGTTAAGCACACTTACTCTACATCTCATAAAAAAATTGCCAACGACTTCTATACACACAATCCCCTTTTATGGGAATCACAAACTGCACTTAGCGGCTGTCCGCAAGAGGCCCTCCCGCGCTGCAAACCTACGACCGCACAACTCACAACAATGGACTGTGCACGTCCGACCTAGCGCGCGGCTGCCGACAATTACGTCCTAATTTCATCAGTTACAAACAAGCTTTCACAGCTTTGACGTTTTACATCAGTTGGGATGGCTAAAGGGAAAATTCTCACCAATAAAAACACGCGTTCATACAGCCGTTTAGTTTTTGACTTGGTACTCTTTTAGGGGGTACACTCGGAGTAATACATGAATGAGACCTTATGCAAGACATGCAACACTATGAGGCATTCTTTGTTATACTGAACTTTTAACCATTGAGATGATTTTCTTTTGATAATTATTAACAATGTAATAAAGGCTAAGTGTTGGCATATGTGTCACTATGGGACATCTTGTCAGTTACAAATGTACAGTATAGCCTGTGCGCCAGACCCATAGCATGCTAGGCCCAGTGTTAGCCAAAATGCAAAGGTCGACAATATCAGAGCTCTCATAGGGGCTGAGGGAGAAGATAGTGGATCAGGGCCTAATTGAGGGGGTTCATATCTTCCTTGGGGGCATGTTGGCACGAGAGACAAGGAACTAGCCTGGATAGGCCTGGAAACAGTCTGGCACCCAGGCTAAGACAGTGAGGAAGAAGAAAGTCTCAACTCTTACATTGTACGTCCAGCCTGATGTTAGTTGTGACGGCCGATGCCCCGGGAAGGTCCTCGTTGACGGCTTGACAGGTGTAGATCACCTTGTTGTCGTTGGCGGAGATGTCGATGGTCAGGTTCTGCTGCGTGACGAACCCGCCCTCGGGGACCGCGGTCACGGCGCTGGCGGAGGTCTGCGGCGAGCCGAGCTGGCGCCCGCCCGTCCACCAGGTGAGCACGGCTGCCGGGTTGCTGTTGGCCGAGGTGCAGACAAGCGTCGCTGCGTCCCCCGCCTTCAGGCCCTGCTCGTACCCCGAGATGGTCACCTCCGTGGGTGGAACTATACCAGAAAAGATGGGAAAATGTTTATAAATAATATAATTATGCATTACATAGGATCACCACAATTGAATAGCATCAAACCTCTGCACGTAACGTAAAAGAACCCAGCACACTTATGGAGAAAAGTAGCAGTGTTTGGCTGACGTATAAGCTACATTGCACCACTTGCTAATGAAAAAGCAAAATTTTTTTGTCCTCAGTTTAAGGTTGCCCACTTTAACACAACAATCTCTATAATACATGTGTTCACTATGTTTAATACAATACAATTGGCAAAAAGACTGGAAGGTCCCTTGTGTACTAATGACTACAGCTAATGAGTACCCTCCCAGACATTTGTACCTTTCATTAAAAAATGATCATAATAACATGACCTGCCATTCTGTGTAGTCCTCCTTTACTTTTAGTTTATTGTAGAAAATTGGCTCCTGGAGGGCTAGCTAACCTGCAAATGTTCCGTACTGTAGTTTTGTGGAATAGGTCATAATTGCAATTAGTTTAGGCAACAGGAAGTGAAAATGAACAGATGAATTTTGCAGAGTCGTCATCAGAATTTCCTGTCTGCAACTGAGAACTTTTCCGCTTATCTTTTCAGTGACTCTCCCACGTTTGACAGATACAGAGGAAACAGGGCATAGACTGCAGCTCCTGACAGGTATCAAGATTAGATAGATATGATTTTGTGTGGCACAGAGCAATATTTCTTGTCGGGCTTCATATCGAGAGACAATAAAAGCTGTTCAAATCCATGTTCCCAGGTTGCTGGTGCAGTGCCACCTGTACCACTATTTATGGATTTTTCTTGGCTTTCATCAGATATGCCTGGAGTAAGGATAAAGTCAGCAGAATATATTATCAGTAATACCTACAGCAGTTATAACCCAAGATTTTATCTGGTGATGAACTGATGATTTGGTAGTTGTTTATCATATTTCTTATCTAAGGAATTTCTAGAAATGAATCTTTCTGTGTCTGCTTTCTGGTTCTGTAATAGATACACATCTGGAAAAATCTTATGTATTGTAGAGGTAAATTCGGACATGGAAATGGTTGCATTTTGATGTGCTAACACATTAATTTACCATGTCTATAGTGTGTAGTTTAAACTTTGTTTCAACACAAAGAAGGAAACTCACCATGTCTTTAAAAACAAATGAGAACATAACAAAATGTATTCAAATGTGCTATGATTCGTATGAATGCAGGAACAGTCAGATGTATCCAATTATGCAAGTTGAAAAAAAAAACCCTTATCTTTCTTGTTGCTGTTTCCTCTCTAATCAAAAGCAATATATGGAGACTGACATTTCCGGACTTTTTAGATGAAAAGAGGAAATAGGGAGGAACTATTAAAGCTTACAAAGTGCCTGGCTTTCCTATTTCTAAGTTTCTTTGGCAGGTTAAGAGGCCAAGGCCAGGCCAAGTTCAATGTTGGTAACGTTGCCCCTTCGCCTGTTTGATGTATTCAAGCCTCATCAATTTTCAGTTATACTTCTGTTGAGAACCAGACGTTTTATGATTCGCAAAGACCATGCGTGAACAGACTTAGCAACAAGGTGGAAACGTACGTGGAGCATTCGCCGCGCATGCATATAAAAGCCTCCTCATGTACATGACAGACACCATTGATCCTGCTTCCAGGCAAATAGGCGTATCCCTGTCATAAACCGAAATCCTTCGTCGTGAGGAGAATTTCAATGAGGATGAAGGATGAACTCAATAGATACACATGTAGACAGCTTTTTGAGGTAGAACTTAGACCTTGGCCATTGTCATTCTTTTATGTCAGGCTTTTATGAGATGTTAGATACCACTTTCTTTACATAGGCAATCCAGGAAAGTATGTAACACAAGGGTTTATTACATGTACACATACAGCAATAGTGAGGTGATCAAGAAATATTTGGATCAGATTCTGGTATCATATTTTCATGTAAATCCTGATGTATCACCTTTTCTGTTTTTTATCATAAGTTTATGCTATATAACATTTTGAGGGCAAGGATGAGATTCTGTAGGATAAAATTTATGCCATTTTGAAGAATCTGAGATAATTTCATTGATGGGTGTAACTGTGTTTAACTTATCGTATTTCAAGAACAAAGTCAGTTTGTTAAGATGACACAAATTGAAACGGACACTAAACGAGACCAAATCAGTTGCAGGGTAACGTAGTCAAAACCAATTCTTGGGCAAACCACTGTTTTCACGCTTTCTGACTAAGGAAAGTCCATCCTGTCATTTTCACTTAAAATTGAAGCTTCTTGGCTGAACTCTTCAGTGGACAGGACTTCATCCAAACCATCACAAATCGTGAAAGAAGTCAAACGTACACTTCAATCCATGATAACGGATGTCACTACGACATGATAACGAAAAATTATGTGGCGCCTGGTTACAAGAGGGCAGGGAACCCAACAGGAAATTGGCAGGCTTTCCAATATACATAGTGCAAACGTCTACATGTTACTCGCTCTCACCAGGTGATTCTAATTAACATGGGGAGGGAGGAATTCGACCTTGCTGGCCAGAGTCGATGATCTATGGCTGATAAAAAGGCAACGCCAGGAGCAACAATGGGTTGTGACAGTAAGTCAGTAGAGACAAACAAGAGTTGATACAGTAACCACAACTCTTGGCAAGGCCCACAAATACCCAGTTATGCCGGTGCTCTGGCTTGTTTAACGTTGAGCATTAAACCTCTTTAACTTATCTGGCTGTAACAAATTTCTGCGAAGGGAGGAACTAGCTCATTATTGGCTTTTAGGCTAATCAAAAAGCTTTCACGTCTAAGCAAAGCAAGGACGACAGAATAGACAAATTTGTGAGTTGACAAGAAGGCTTCCCATCCCGAAATCGTTATACCTTTGCCCTTCAGATTACCCAATCCCTCCATAACACATAGATTTGGGGTTGATGAAAGAAGATTCATTGATTCAATTGACCAGGGTAGACATTTTGACTCACTGGTGCATTTTTCCAACATATGATGTTAGGGGAAAGACTTGATACACGTCTAATTCAAACTTCTAATAAAAAGCAACTCATTGGAATGGTTTTATCAAGATTAGATGTACATGTATTTATGATCCCTATTCCTAATAGTCTCCAAAACTCTGGGGATTTGTCGCATATACACGCACACAGGCTTATTACAGCTCCCTTTCAGCACAGACAAATTGGATTTCCCAGTCAATGTCAGACGTTCCCTTGAGCAACAGACCCCCATCTCCGCTCTCGGTCTACAGATTTTCCATATAAACCCTCTTTGCAAGTCAATGAATGCACTTTTGAATTCACGTAAAAAGTACGAACAAATCTAATAACGGTACCTGCAAACCCAAGGGTATCGTCTGTACAAAATGCAGGCATTTTGAAATCAATTTAAATGCCATTTTCATTTTTATTAAGGCCACACTGACTTAATTCTATACCACAGAAATACTCTCCATAGTTACTGCTGGCTCCCTATTGTCACTGTTAGCTACCATGGACTACGGACGATGAGCCCAGGCCAGAGCCTCCTTGGAGGTGATTTTTTTTGTAGAACAGGTGAAAACCAATGCAAAGGGCAGATGTTATCCATAAAATTAAATCAGTGTGGCCTAGAGAGGTGAAAGATATAACAGCTTACATTTTACTGTCAACGTGATGGAGGTCTTTAATGGGGTAGAGGTGACGCTATTCGAAACTTGACAGGGCATTGTCATTGTCTGAACAAACTGCCTAATGCAGGCATTTTGAAATCATTTTAAATGCCATTTTCTTTACATTTAAGAGGGACACAGCTTACATTTTACTGTCAGTGTGATGGAGGTCTTCAGCGGTGTGGAGGTGACGCCGTTGGAAGCTTGACAGGGCATTGTCATTGTCTGAACAAACTGCCTAATGCAGGCATTTTGAACACCATTTTCTTTATTAAAGATTAAAGATATATAACAGCTTACATTTTACTGTCAGTGTGATGGAGGTCTTGAGCGGTGTGGAGGTGACCCCGTTGGAAGCCTGGCAGGAGAACTCTGCATTGTTGTCGCTGGCGACCACGGTGTGGATCAGCTCGTTCAGCGCCTGGTTACCGACGGTGTGGTAGGACGAGTCGATGCGCTGGTCGTTCTTGTACCAGATCAGGTCGGCCAGCGGGTTGCCGCCCTCGGACGTGCAGGTCAGCTGGAGGAGGTCCCCGACCTTCTTGACCGGCTGGGTCTCGAACCCGGTGATGACGGGTTCTCCGGGTGGATCTACAAAAACATTTCATGTTTAATCACTTCTTTTCAAATTATTAATGTTGTCTTTTAATAAAGTTTTATAGAAATTTTATTGCAAATTCATGCCTGAGGGCTAATTGCAAGAACATGATAAAAATGAAAATAGTAATAAAAAAGTAATAATGATAATTAGTAATGCTACTACTACTTTGGATACAGTTATTATAGATATAGTAATGTAGCATTTGTTCCTCCTACCCTTATACCTCAGTTACCTAACATTTGACCCATGTAGGGTGTGAAAATGCAATTAAGTTTATTGTCATTGTCAATAATAAGTTTATTGCAAATACGTGCCAGGAGGCTGATTGCAGGTGCATATAACATGGAAATAATGATACAATATAAATTTCATAATCATAAAATAGTTCCTGGTTTAACTTCTTCTTTTTAGGCAATGGTAGACAAATATTGTTTTCAATATACATTTCTCCAGAAAAAAATTCAGTGCACTTGACAAACGTGCTTTGAATTGAAGTTATGAAGTCTAAAACAATAACTAAGTACAAATAAAAACAATAACTAAGTACAAATAAAAACAATAACAATAACAATACCACACCATCTTACTCCCTTTTTTATGTTACTTACAATATTCAAAGTCATTCACACTCTTTACTATTTCCAGAGTGGAGTAATCAGGAAAGCTTTACCATACTTAGTGTTGAAAAGTTTCAGCAAAATTTGACAGTGCCAAGGAGAATGGACAGCAATCATGCAACAGTAATTAGCAACTTTCCCATTCTTTCACAACAACTCGGTTGATAGGCTTTACAACCTAAGAAATACTTCTCAACATTCTTGGTAAAGACGTGTGGGTGAACTGAGGGACAGGAGAACACAGCCCATATGGCAACATAGCTAGTACTTCAATCATAACTTTGGGGAGGGCTCAGTTTAATCAACTCCGGTATCCGAGCAATTTCGCTTAATGATACCAGCGCAGTGTGGAAATGTGCTTTTCCTTAGCCATGTCAGGAAAACCTCATTGAGCTCGGATTTACAGGACAGAATTCAACACCGTAAATGACAACAATTGCAGCCTGACAGTTAATGGGCAAGAGTCTGTCTTCTCTGGAAGCAGTAGGCGGAAAATAACGAGGTCGTATACGCCAGACTTTGGCCGGACTTGACATTGGCCATACACTGCCAAAACCGACATCTGCGGAAACTTGTTACTGGAGTGAGATCTAAGCGCCTGCTTCCCACGCTTTAAGTTAAAGTTAGATTGAAACATTTGGTCTAGAATGATGAATGGTTGCAGAAAAGAGTAATAACAGCACGCATACAGCCAGAGAACTGGGCAATTATTAGAATATTCTCAGACTTTCGGATTGCTTCCTTGGTTTAGAACTGGTCAAGGCCGATGCCTACCAGTATGCCTAAAGTTTATTTTCACATGGATCAGGCCATTCCTGGACATAAACAAGGCAATGTCACCAATCATTTGTAGCATTGGCCACTTTTTCATAGCCTGGGTGCTATCCTTTTCATATAAAGGGGTTCCCATACTCTCTCCCTAAAAAAAAAATTAGGGAGGGAGTAAGGGAGCCCTGATACACAAATAGGATGGCACCCAGGCTAACTTTTTAAAGATTTCAGTATATTTGAATTCAGGCCATGAAATTCTTATGACAAGAAGAGCCCTGTGGAGGATGTTCTGCAACAGTTGAGCAAATTCCATTAAAATTCAACAGTCCCTAAAGTGGGTTAACATTTTTTAGCAACTGGGAAAGCAATTTCTATGTATAAATCCCTTGCACATACGTGAAGACGTGTCCTCACTACGTAAATCCCGCATGAACTGGAATGTGTCTCTCATCCATAAGAGATACGTGATACCTCCACAAGGTTCAGTGTGGAATAGAGGAATTTCCCCACAAGCAGAACTTCGGCAGCATTCTGGTCATACTTTTCCTGAGAGGGCTATCAGCACAGGAAAATTCTTCGGTCTAGTTATTTCTGTACTTAAAAAGGATATTTTCCTACAGACTAGGCTTTCTCTCTTGCCTTATCACCAATATGCCTTAGGTCAGTCATTAGAGAGAGAATTTAGAACACCAACAAGGTCATTTGACCACGAATATGAGGAAAGTGTTTCTAAAGTAGGTTTCTACCAGCCAAAACGTAATTTACTTTATCCATCAACTTCTACTGTTTGGGATGTTCAATTTCAATCAAAGTTCAAGGGTGCTGTGGGTATGCAGCTGAAATTTAGCTAGGAATATAGCATGTAATTTTTGTGCAGTTTATTAAGTCATAATGTTCTTTTGCAAGTCAGACTGACTGACAGAGAGAAGAACAACATTATTACTGTTAGACGGAAGAAGGGCAAGAATATGGCCTCAAAAGTTAACCAGGTAGCAGTCAGGCGTGGTAGTATAGTTACTTACATTGCACACTGAGGGTGACAAAGACGTTCTTGGTAGCATCTAACGTCGCATGGCTGGCCCTGCACTCGTATCTGGCGCCGTTGTCGTCGTCTGTGGGCTGCAGTTGCAGCACGTTGACGGCGTTCTCTCTCTTTTCCGTCCCCGTGGGCTCGGTGCTGTAGGAGACCCCCTCCGTGACCTCCTCCCCGTTGCGGTACCAGGTGAGGGAGGCTGCGGGTTTGCCGTTGTTGCACCGGCAGGTCAGCTGGAGACCTTCCGACGGGGTCACGGGGATCCCCACCCCGCTGTTGTAACCCTCAATGGTCGGGTCATCGGGTGGTACTGTGCAGAAAAAAAAGATATTCAGTTCAGTGCCAGAAGACCAAAAGTACAGTTATTTCTATGAATCTATCCCTTTACAAATTCACAATACCACCAGGGTCCCCTCTGTGTGGGTTATCTATCTGGTGGCAGAAAAAAGATATTCACATCAGTGCCTAAAAGGATAGTGCTTTCACTGTAGGTTTCAATTCATTCCTGAATCTACTTTTCCACATTGTGTTTTACCCATGAATCTAATCCCTTTAAAGATTCACAACATCATCAGGTCTGATCTGGTGGCACTGTGCAGAAAAAAAAGACATTCACATCAGTGTAAAACGACCAAAAGGACAGTGCTTTCTTGCAAGGTTTCTCTCCTCTTTTGTCATCCTTAGTTAACTGAGGTGAAGCAAGATGCCTTTTCACGTAATTACAAGTGCAATATGAGTTTGCTACAGCTCACATATTAAGGGTGGTTAATACACATGGGGGGTTGCAAGGCCTACATCCACAAGATTTGTACTGAATTTATTCTCATTTACCTTTTCACATTGTCTTTGTCTATCAATCAACCCTGTTAAAGATTTACAACACTATCACTATCAGCCTGTACAATGCCCCCTCTGGTATGATTCATGAATAACGTACTGACAAGAAAAATGACCACCAGCATTAGATGTAAGTGGGGCCATAAATCCAACAACAGTAAGAATGGAGTAACTTGCAGTGTAATAGGAGAATGCAGGCATCATTTCTCTCCCTGTTAATATCTATCTTCTTTATATGAAGCATAGTGCTGGTTTTGGGTTAAGATTCAAAGTTAAGTTACAACCTTCATTCTTCCGGTTGCCTAACCTGACAACCAATATGAATTTGGTAGCAAACAAAAACATTAGCAGATTGCAATTGAAGGTTAAAATGTCTGAAGTTGAATGTGCCACAACCCTGAAAGGCTACTGAATGTTACATCCAGTTGGTCCTTTGGGGAAAGTGGGCAACATCAAATACCTCACAAAAGAGACACTAATCACCCACTAACGTCTTGATCATTTTTGTTAGGTGGAATTACTGTGGTTGTGGAGTTTTATCAGCATTGTTGAAGCAATCCAGAATCCAGGCTGATATCTCTGGTCACCCTTTTCTGATTTAAGTGCTATGGAGGAAGGGTGCTGTGTATACTTATCGTCTGATGGGAATGTTAATCGCCCTGATTCAGGACTTGAAATAGACAACACTGTCTGGTTTTCCAGCCAGATAGCCTGCCAAAATTACAGGGCCATCTGCCATTGGGGAATCCGCATGGTTAGCCTGGATGCCAGACTGTTCTCACTATTTCAGAAGCAATACTAGACTTCAGTTAGACCCTGAGAAGCTTTCCTTAGGTGCATGTTGGCCCTGGGCTGGAGCTGAGAAGCTAGCCTGGCAACAGTCTGGCACCCAGGCTACTGCATGTGTACATGGCAGGCAGCAGCTCTGATACAGAACATAATTAGCTTGAAAAAAAAAAACGTTTCAAGTTTCATTTCTTCAGATTTGGTCCACATTCTATACGTCATGCATTTGCTACTTCAAAGTCAATTGTTTTCCAAATCTACTTTTTGTATCAGTATGACTATACTGCTGCTATATATGCATTATTTAATTTACAACATTCAGCGATAAAGCTCTGGTTTCATTTTTGATATTAAGATAAGATCATAAAAACAGCTTTAATTTTGATAACCATGTCGTAATTCGATAATTGCACATAAATTCCATAAAAGAAATAAAGTTCTTATCTATGCACAGCAGTGTTCCAATATAGACTGTCATAAACCTGCCATAAATGCCTTGATTTCCTCACCAACATGCATAAGCTATGTGGCTATCTAATTAGCATACCAGTACATTGTCTGTTCGTCATAATCATTCATTTTGGATGCGTGGAGTAGGACGTAATTATTTACTACCAATGATGTGACTTCTGGGTGGACAGAAGTGACAAAATGTGTCTCTTTCTTCTTTGAAATTTACTGTTTAGTTGTTTATCTTTTTTATGTGCAGAGATTTTATTCCATTGGAACACAACCACCTTTTTCCCAGTACCTTCCTAGTTTGCTTTCGACCAGGTCGAAATTCTGATAGGACTCTGGTAGTCTGGTAAGCCTAAGGGGAATAAATATAAATGCAGAAAAAGTGAACTTGTCTATGGATGACTGATTTCACTCATTACCTGTATGAAACATGTTCTGTTGTTCTGATTTCCCATACGACATGCACATCACGACATGCACTACATCATGAATACAGAATGTTCTGAGAGCCACAAATATGGTTGGAAAATATGTGCCTTGTTCAATGCCAGAACTTAAATCAATGGTAATAGTATGCTCAGTCTTTCTTAGAAGGAATGATGCTTTCAGTGAAATCTATGGCCCATGCCGAATAGTCTTTCCGACCTACTCGATCATGCAGTCAGGTTTCCAGGTTTGCTCATCTATCCTCCAACTCCCTGTAAGAAAAGCGTCTATCTCCTTTTATGTCATCGTTCCACATGTCAGTGAACTGCGTTGGCAGGTTTAGAGTTTGTTTTATCACTAGCTCAAAACTTTTTGACTTGTAAAAAACTTACCCCTGATTTATTATTACGCGTGGGCAGAAAACTGGCAGTACGAAAACTGCACACGTGGGTCTGAAAACTGCATACATCAAATTTTCATGTATGTAAATTGTCCTTCTTTGACGTATGTCAAGGATGTACCATCAGACAGTACCCCAGCCCTGAAGGTGACAAAGGGAAAAATATGGAAGTACGTTCTTGACGTACACCAAAGCATACAAAAAATGTGAGTTTTCGTACCTTCTCATACGCACACAGTTTTCTTACTGCATGGTTTTTTAAGGTTTTTGCCTGTGTGTAAACTGGGTGTTGTCCTTGAGTGTACAGGCATGTAATAAAACCGTAACAAGCAGTAACTGAATCAGAAAATCAGGAACAGGTGTTCTTAGTTGCATTATATAGTGACTACTGAGAATACAGTTCCACCATCACATGCTTCAGTTTACTACATCTTTCCGTGTTCATCCCTGGATCAAGTACATGTCCAAACAAACACGCTTGCCTGATTGAAGGAGACACACAGTAGACACTATCTGGATCTGATATCCTTATCTGGGGGAAGGAATGCACCAAGGACAGCTACAGTAACTTCTGCCACCCCTAAAGACAACATTCCTGTCTCCTTGTGAGACACAAATCTTAGACTGGAGAAGACATACATTTCCTGTGCTATATAAGGACAGTTGGTAGAATTGCAAGCTTGCAGACAACTCCTGTCTTTGCTTATCTGTAGATCTAGTCAACCTGTACATTATGTTAGGTACATATTCCCATGTATGGAGGAGTGTCCTGGAGTGTTGAAATTGTGGCAGGCCTTGCTTGTGTAGAATTAATTCATAGAGAACAGGATCACACAAGTGTAGTATCTAACAAATATACCTTAAATCAGTTTGCAAATGGAGCAAAAATGTTTCAAGACACAGGCAAGATTCTTGTCATTTTATGGCAAAGTGTATCTCCAAAAGGCAACTGAGGAAATCTTTGGCTAATTCGAAACCAATGGCCTGTCAACAAAGTAGCTTAGTGGGAAAACTTTGTAGGATCAACCAGTCTACAAGGGGCCTTAGGATTGGCACTTTTCCTAAACAAACTCTTACAGATTTTTTAAGTCATGGCTAATTAACTTGAACCCCTGAAGGAGAGACCAAACATTGACCTTGACATTTTGGTTTGCCTTTTCTTTCAACTCGCAAAAACAAGCCCTGATCAGCCTAAAGCTCCACCACAAGCTGACAGGGGGATGGGGCTGTGTAACATTACACTGAGTACAGGTTTAGACACCTGTCAGGGGTTGTGCTCTGGGCACTGTAGGATGTAGGACAGGTTATAAAACAAAATTCAGTTCAACTTCATTCTACGGCTAACTTCATTGAATAAAGGAAAAACGACTGAAAGTCTTCCCAACAAATTGAAACTGATGAATTACAATGTAATTCATCAGTTATATTTATTTATTTATTTATTTATTTATTTATTAAAATTCATCACAACAGTGAAAGGGACGGGGGGAACAGGTGTAACACCTTTACCAGCCCTCGTCCCGATACAGCATACAAATACAATAGGCTCAAGTATAAAATAATGAGTGATTTACATATACATATACATAATGAAAAAGCTTAATATATACAGACTACCGAACCCTCAAATCCTGACAAGACGCGCACTTGCACGCAGTGGACCATGTACAGAGGTTGTCAGGTTCAAAGTGATGTTTAAATCTCTCAACAGCAGATTTCACAAGACAACGCTTAAAAGACAGTAAGTCAGACTGATTTAACGTCGAAGCCCCTTTGATGCGAACTGCGACGTCAAGCTTATTCCATTCGGTTACCAGACGTGGTATGTATGACATGGCAAATGTAGATGTCTTACATCGGCTTGGCATTAATATGTAAGACCGGTTACTCCTTGCTGGTCTGGTTGAAAAAGATACATATTCATACACGTTCAGGTCATACATACTTGACAGGGACTTAACGAAAACCATGATGTCGGCTGTCTCCCTCCTATAAGACAGAGGTAGCATGTTTAGGTACAATAATCTGTCCTTGTAGTTAAGTTCACTGACATTTGCATTGTTACGAAGAATGAACTTTGTCGCCCGCCTCTGAACTCCCTCCAAGAGGGCCATGAGGTTACGCGACAGCGGTGACCAAACGGGGCAACAATACTCGAGAAGTGATCTGACTAGTGTAACATACAATGCTTTGCGTATATCCAGGCTGGAATCGTAACCGATAGTGCGTATAATAATACCCATCATCGAGTTTGCTTTAGCTACAATGTTTACAATATGCTTGTTCCACAACAAGTCAGACTGGGCAAGAACACCCAAGTCGTTCATGCTACTGACTGAACATAGGGCTATATCTGACATGTGGTAGGTAAAAGTGATTGGACTCTTGGAGCGAGTCAAGCG